ATCTTGTTTCAGTAACAATTCCATATTTCTTCCATTCATTTATTATCTTCTTTATAGAAGCACGCTCTTCGGCATTGGTTTTATACGACTTCATGCAAATAGGCTTACTCCCTTCAATTTCTTTAATATCCATTTTTGTTAAGTTTGTACACCCTAATTCCTCCATATTTAATGCAAAACATCTCGATACTCATTTATCAAATGTAAAACTTCCTGTTTTCCTCTGGCGTAATATTGTTATTAACTTTAATTTCTTCTAAAGTAATCGGTCCTCTTAAACTTTTTAATTTCATTTATTATCAGTATTTCCTTTTGACTTGAATTTCAGTTTCTGATGAACAACATAACCGTTATTTAATTTCATCAGTTTTTTTAACTTTCACGAAATTAACCATATTACTTTCGATTTGAGTTTCTTGGGAAGCCTTCAGTTTAATTCGCGGAGTGTTCCTATCATTTTGCAACTGTGAAAATGGACAATCATTAACATAGTGTATTGTGCAAATTATTACCTATCTTGGCGTATGCAATACGAGTAATATGTGGTAAATCATGTTCGACCAACTAATAAGTCACATGGTTGCGTTACATCTCCTACAATTAGAACTGTAATGTCCTTTCCTTCCACATTATGAATCTCTAAATTAACAGTTACTTTTCCTAATGTTCTAGCGGCTGGTTTACTTCTGGTTTCCCAAAGACAAATAATTCCTTCCACATCAGGTTTTACAATAAATTCAGTGTCTTAGCCGCAGACTGTTTCAATAACACGAACTAGAACCCATATCTATGATTGCAGTAATTCTTTCTCCATTATTGATGCGAGCATACTTAAATATACAGCTGGGTGAAACACCTGAATTCTGGTCCACGGATAAATAAGTTTTAACATTTGTCAAGTCTGGATTCTTAGACGTACACTTTTAAAAGTACCCCCTTTCATTACATTTCCTGCAAATAATTTCTTTTTTAGGCTGAGGGAATCCATCGCTATATGTCCATACCATTACAATTGAAGCATTTCGGCTCACCCTTTTCATTGCGGTACCAGGATTATATTCCCTTTTCCTTTCGCTGTTTTATAAAATTTATCTCTCAGATTGTATTTCTTATCAAAACTGTTTTTAAAACCCCTTTGAAATTACCATCTGTCTGCATGGAATCTTTAACATATCTTTGTCTTGAATACTGATTATAGGATCATTCTAGATTTAGAACCAGATTTGGGCTTAGAATTATGCCTAAAAGTTTTATTTTCTACTTGAAGTACTTTTATCCCTGCCCGAATATTTTCATATTCATCTAGTTTTTTCAGCCAACTCTTCAGGATTAATGAATTAGACCATCATCAATGAATGGTCTCGGATAGCAGCGGGGACCCTCTTCTTTAATTGATCAGTAATAATAAGTTGTTTTAAAGAGTCAAAATCTGTTACATTTAATCCAGCAAGCCACTCTTCAAAATAATTTTTTAATTCAAACGTGAAGTCTTCCACTATTACGCAACGTTTTAATATGATCAACGAACTTTTGCCGAAACTGTTCAGGGCTTAACTTAAATTTTTCTCATAGCAGTTGTTTAACGTGCTTATAGTCGTTAGCTTTCTGTTCTGATTCACGGGCAATTAATTGAGTTATTTCATAAGGCAATAGACCCAACAGCTGAAGAACCCAGTTTTGTTCTTCTAACCCAATACGTTGTACCTGTCTCTCAAATAAAACTAAATAAAAACTTATATCACCTTCATTCAAATCATACTTTGCATTAATTTACTCATATCCAAATATTACTTCTACTAACCTTAGAAGAACAGAATCATTTACATTACTACTTCTGATTTCCGCTTCTATTTTCAATTTTTCTAGTTCAAAGTTTTTTGCTTATCTTTTTCTATAATTTCCATTCAAATGCTCTTTGCTTACTTTTTGTAAAATTTCTAACTTTTCCCTGTCTAAAACGATCATTTATAATTCTATCTAGCATTTGTTTAGTAAAGTCTCGTTATAATTCTACTATTCAAAATCATATCTCTTAAGCCTACATTTTTAATATCAGAGTGACATCTACATCAAGTTCCAAAGCAAGTTCTTTTAAATCACATTTTTTTGGCCTCTTGCCAAATAAGCCATCTTAGACTTCAATTTTCAAATACTAATACAATAATTATACTTAAGTTCTTTCTCCGTTTAATACTTAGACATAACATAAACAGTTTTATAAATTCACGTACCCTTTCTACTTCAGTTTTGGCGAGGTTTCCACATTCAGTTTAGGCTTAGCATACGTTAAGGCAATACGTTGTTAAATCTAGATAATAATTCTAGTTTATCCCACTTCTGAAATGTTAGCATTTAATTAGTTCCTTTACTAAAAACACATTCCGTCAAACATTAATTGTTAGTTACTTGCTTTATTCAGAAACATTACCGTCAACATTACTGCTCAAAAACTTACAGTTCAAAAATATTATCGTTCTGAAAAAAAATGTTGTTGCCAATCGGGAAAATACATTTTTAAAAAAAAATTAATATGTTGTGTTTACATTATATTCATCTATCATCTTTAAAAGATCTAATCATGCTTTAAGATCCAGAATTATTTGAACAGGATGATTTTTATAACTAGATATTTGGGATATCATATTTACTACTGGTATTTACTTGCATTGGGGATTTTCACAGTTTCAGATATAAGTTATTTTATAGGTAGCTTTTTATTGTTTAGACTGTCTTATTCCTCCACATCAAAATTCAAACTTTTTGTTTGGATTAAATAATTTAAGAATAACTCAGAAAATCATATCTTGTCGCATTTCTTCATATTCCAGGCTTAGCCCATAATTAAACTTAGATGCCGATTTGCTAAATCTATCCAGCAATAACTGTTGCTATTCCATGAATAACCTTACCTGAGAGCAACTGTACGGTTCTACGGGAAATTAAATTTGGATACAGCAAGACAAAAACTTGCACTATGCCTCGATAAACATTGTAATGAGAAATGGAACAGGGCAAACTTTATATAGGAAACCAAGCAAGAAAAGTAATGCAATATATTTCATTTACAGACATTTGATGCTATTCTAATAGTCTTTTGTGCATTAGATTTGCAAGAACAGGTTCTAGACAACCGCCATACTTTCCAAATTCAGTTCATAGACTTTGAAATGCTTGTCATGATCAACTTGAATCCATCTGAATATTAATGGTATTTAATACAGCAGAAATTGCAGTAAGGATTAAAATTCAGGTTAATGGAAAACAGTACAGAATCAATGAAGCAGTTCCCCAGCAAATTCAGTTTACCCATAAATGTAAATCATTACCCATAAACATAAATCAATGTCAGTATCTTAGTTTCAACTATTAAGTTTAATCCGCACTTTCCATGACCCCTATCATAATGGCACGAAGATTATCACCAAATTAGTTTGAAATAAAGTAAAATGACTCTTGCTTGGAAGAATGTCCAATGACTCCAATGGCAGTATTTTCCTCAGTCATATATAAATCAAAAATCGTTACATATGGCCTATGCACAGCTCTTCTTGTAACAAATAAACTAGTTAAGTGATCACTCTTAATGTAAATGTCAGTCCAGTTTTCAAATGTAAGAAATATAAATAATGGTGATACAATAAGACTTGTAAAAAATATCATTTATTAAAACATGACAAATGAAAAACAGAAAGCTGAATGCAGTTTCTCTCCTATTGGCAACACTGTGCTATTTGTATATATTTTGTTATGATTTCTAACTTTATTTACAAATTTATAATATTGTCTACATTAAATCTGTAATATTATCTGCATTAACTATATGCAATTTCATGAATTCATGAATTTTTATGTACTTAGCTAAAGCAACAGCGCCAATGTCATTTTACTTTTACTTAAAATGTGTTCTTGGATCTAATTACAGGCTAAAAAAAAAAAATTAAAAAAAAAATATCCCAATATATTAGTTACGTTTTGGTGAGACATAAATCTATATTTAGAATAACGAACCATTGTTTATAAATATATGTTACATATATTGCATTCTTGATTTTAATTCAGCCCATCAAAATAATGTCTTAAAACTTTTCAGTAACGGAAAAACACCCATCTTTCTAGTGTTCAGAAAACTAATATTTGAACTCCATCTAGCCCTAGTGAATCGCGACTTTTTAAAATTAATAATTTTTTGGATGTCAATAAAACTACTCTTTCATCTAAACACCTTCGTTCTGTTTGTTCCTTCTGTCTTGCCCCTTTCTTCAAGGACTGACACTAAGTGATGGTTAGGATTTGAAAACTCTATATATAAAAAGGATGCAACTTCAACAAACCCATCACACTTTAATTGTAGCTTTACTTTTTTAATCTTCATTCAATAAATTATATGTCTGCTCAGTATTTTCACAGAAAAAGGACAATACAGTTATTAAAATGCACCTTAAAAAACTGAAATCTAAGAAGGTAAGTTATTAAACAGATCATAAAAAATTGAAACCTGAAAGGATCAGTAATACATATTACCTCATTATTTATACATATATCAAATACTGATCTCTTATTTTTTTTTACTTCTTTAATATTATGGTAATGATTAGATAATTATAAAAACGAACAATAAAGTACACAATTGTAGAAATCTAGTGATAAAATCTGTGTACTAAATTTACAAATTAAACATATATAAATTATAAACTTAAAAAAGGTGTTTCTAATTAAAAAATTAACATTTTTAGTCAAAATGATTATAAAAATGTAAAAGAAAGGGCTTTTTGTAATTAAGACAGAATTTAGCTTTTTAATTATTGAACACTTACAGCTATTGTACCAAATCTGCATCCTAAAAGGGTACATTAATAAAGATTTTTAAAAAGTAATAATATTGAAAACTCGTATAATTAATCAGATATTTTTAAACAGCTTCATTACTAAAGAAATTAAAATTGTATTAAAATTTGCCGAATTTTTATAGAAAATTCCTAGGTACAAATGATAAGATTTACTTTCTGAGAGGCTATATCTTCATTTAACATCTTTTCCTCAAGAGAGCATTTGTTTATTGCTTCTTTTTTCTTATCTATTTCGCTTGATATATTGCCTAATTTATCTTGGTGCTCCACTAATTTTCTTTCTCTATTCCCCTTGATGTATCTGCAAATATAAATGAAAACTTCAGTATATCTTAAAGTAATGAAATAGAACGTTTTTCCCAAAAAGACATTACATTGGAATGCATATTATATTGAAATACACATAAAAGCAATTTTTCAGAAGGAAAGAAAATCATATCCCCCCTTTTTTTTGTGATTGTTGTTGTTAGTCCAAAGGGGCAATGTGCACCAGAAGGACTATTAATTTTGTAATGCCATTTTGCATTGATTCACTATATCGGTTCACTTTTTCAAATTGTTGCCACCAAATATTAGAGCCCTGTATTATATTTAAAGAAATTAAATAATGAAGAATCTGCATAAATGTCCGTACATAGGCTATTTTTTTTTCAACCTCCGATTGGCTATAATGTATCAAATATGAAGGTTGCTACTTTCATATCCGACAGATTTTTGTTGTGCTTTTTAAAAGATTTAATCACATGAAATAGGCTGTTTTATGTCATCCGTTTTAGACTACAATCACGTAATATATTTTAATTTAACATCTGAAGAGAGCTTCTTTCCAACCTTTGCCACCTTTTCAGTGTTAGGAATATCAGAAATCATAGGATAATACGTACAATGTTATTAGTATTTATAGTATTTATTTGGCTTATTATTCTATAATGTACTACATTAGACTCAGCCAATAATTTCCAAAAAAATAAGTTTGAAAATATATCGTATTTTGTCAGAATAGCATTAAACTTAAATGAAATAAATTACTATAAAAATGTATTTTAATGCAAATTTTTAATATACAACAGTTGACCAAAAAAATCAATGCACTGTACCGATCAGATAAATTTTAAAATGCAAAGCTTCTTACTTTTGTATTTCTCTTGATATATCTTCAAGAACCTCCATTTCTTTATCCTCTTCTTTAATCTATTAAAATACCAATTTTAAAATATTATCATTTATCAGCATTATACCACAGGATTCTAGATATTCAGACCAGCTGGAGCTACATTATATTCATATAACTGCACTATAGTTACTATTTAGATAAAATTTATATTTACTATCAGGAAGTGAGGCTTTTTATATTTTATTTCAGAGCAGAGTATACAGTTAGTTTTTGCGATATTTTAAAAATTGGTATGTATTATCCCGTCAGTTGTGAACCTGGCACCAAGCAGCATGATTTAAGTTCTGAATAAGAAATAAGCTAATAACATACTCAATATTTGTGCATTCATCTAAGATAATTCCAATTTATTCCCAAAAGACCACATTTTATTTTTATGAATAAGGATATAAATTAACTTTTATTGCTTCCCCCCTTACATTTTGAATTAAAAAAAAAAAAAAAAAGGAGATTAAAATTTGGAACCTGCTTTCTACAAAATATCAAGGAGAGGATTATTTTCAAAGTTATGGGATCCAACCATCAAAAAATGAGCATCAGTGGACACACACAAAATTCCATGTAACGCAAATGACTAGTGCACCATTGTAAAAGCTTTGCTAACTTTCATTGTTCGATGGTAGCCAACTTTCACATACTAACATGCAAGTATTAATAGTATACAGGATAGTATGTAAGTATTTTAAAATTTTATAAGATCTTATTTTTACCTATAAAAATGCATACCAAAAAGAACACATCAAAATGCTAGTTGAAATCAACTGACAGCAGTTACTCTGAAAAAACTGGTTACATAAAGAAGAAATTAACCTAATACAGTACAAAGTCTTTAATCCGGACTCGTCAGGACTTCGGTGATTCCGGATTAGGGGTTTTCTGGGTTGTAGATCATCAATTTAAATCTGGTAAGATGGCATGCAGAAATTATAAAATTAAAAATATGAAACCGTAATTTATGAAATAAAGAGCAATTATGATCTAAAGGGTATCATAATTTACAAAAAAAAGCTTAATATTTATTTGTTTACTTTATTAAACATTTCTTTCAATGTAAGTTGTTTAAGTTGCTTTGTTTTTTGTGCTAATACTTTCTCTTTAATTCTATAAACAGACATAATTTCTTGTTCAGTTCCACTGTTCAAGCCCTGTAATTGCTGTGTCGAGAATACTGACTAAATTGTCAATCGAAATTTTTTCGTTTCCAATGACCCTCTCTATCACTTTCTTCGCTATCAGAAGCGGTACATCGAAACATGCTTTCGCTTTGTAGATCCTTTGGCAGCTCCAGAATTGGAAACTCTTTTTGACATAATCGAAAGTTCAAGCTTACTTTTATAAAATTGCTCTAACAGTCTGCAAAAAATAATAAGCTGGCTCCAATTAGAAGATTAAGGAACAACGCAATCTGCAACATTAACTGAAATAGATAATTAGATAATTTTAGCCTAGCTTATACCATCCGTTATACATTAAACGCGCATACGAAAACACATATGCGCATGCATGCGCAGAAAGTTTGTAGCTTTGAGGCCCTGATTATAGATCATTCTGGATTATGGACGTCCGGATTAAAGAGTTTGTACTATCACTACCTTTATTTTATCTATTTTTAAGCACTTGCTACAGTTATATAATGTCTCATGGAGGTACTCACAAGACACTATTACTCCATTAATGTGCTAAGTTATGTATATATATTTAAGGCCAATTTATGTCATCCACATTCTTCTAAATTAATTTATTAGCTTCTAAAAATGTGTACAATACTTTATCTATATATTTATATTAATAAAATCAATGAACTTCTCAATAAATTAACTGCAAGCTTAATTCTATTTATCCAAAAAGTTAAAATAAATAATTCAGACAATTGAAATTTGGATATCAGGAGTTTAGATAGATGACACTTGAGAAAATTATAAATAAAATTCTTACCTTTGATCTGATTACTTCAAGTTCCTGTTCTTTCACTTTCAAAGCAGCTTCTTTCTCTTTATTTAATTTATTTAATTGAGTCTGTAAAAGATTTGTAACAATTAAGCAGATGTATTTATATCAATTGACTTGATAATAAACTGAAGTACTGAATAACAAAATAAATTAGTGTTTAAGAAGAATTTGACAAAGAGCTGTTAAATTTAATTTGGTAATTACGATATAAATCTTAATTCCCAAATGCATTCAAATCCCATACTTAAAAATTAAATATTCCTTCAAACAGTTATGAACGTTTGTCTGCTTCAAGAAATTATTTTAAAAGTACATCTTCAAAACATAAATGATGCATGAAAATGTACAAAAATGTCTAAATAAAGTAAACTTATTCGTTCTGTCTCTAACAGATTATTATTATTTCTACTCATAAAGCACTTTTTTTTTCAAAGAAAATATACTGTAACAAGTGTCACTAAGATAATTCTAAAAAAAAAAAAAAAATAGTTAAATAAATAAAAAAAAAACTTTAGAAATGAGGAAAATTCATGTAAATTATATTTAAAAAAAACTCTTTTTTCATTAAGATATATCAAATACTGAAAACCACAAATGAACTATTAATGGCCAACCTTGAAATTTTAAAAACTGGGAGGTTTTCACCCTATACAGCTATTCAAAGGAACTCCAGACTGACTTTATAAGGTATACTTGGTTATAACGCAGGATTCAGGTTATTCAATTATTTATAATACAACTGTGATGTAAAATATATTACTATTAGATATTCTAAATTTTATGTTTTTTTGGATGATTTCCTTTTAAAATTTTCTTATAAAAGACTGAGAAAATCTTGAGTAGGGAAAAAAAAAAAAATTTGTTTATAAAAGTGCTTTTAAATATGATGAAAATAAAATTAATAATTAATGTATATAGCATTTGTATGGCTAAGTTAAGTAATGTACCATATATTGAAGTACACAAAACTAAATACAAATATTAATTAATTAAACTTTGCTTGAATCTTCATATAAAGATTTACAAACATTTACAATAGATTCATAGTGCTCAGATCAAATGAAATATAATAAGAGAAGAATCAATAAATTGTAATAAGAAAAAATTCAGAGGAAATAAAGTTTAATAAGAAAAAATATTCTGAAAATCATTAGAGATGGGGGATGAAATTTACTAATTTAGATTTTATTAATTCTAAAAATTTCATTTACTGCTGAAAAACATTTTCATTAATAAAAACTAAAAATTAAAAATTGAGAGATTTGGTAACCTACACAGAGATGTGATGAAAAACCAGCAAAACTGGCAGCTCTGTAATGCATTTATTGCTGTCAACCACTATTAATGAAAGCCTTACACCTAACTTAGCTTAGTTAATGATAATCAAAATTTTCTGCAAGTAAACATGGAGGAAATTCATTGCTGATTTTTTAGCAGAAATGATTATTTTAAGCTCCCAATGCAGTGAAATTTCAAACACTATTCAAGGTTGTTTATTACTTTTAAAAGTTATCAAGCACTTTATTAAAAGAGTACTTCCTTTTTAAAAGCATTTGAATCATAAGATTGTTCTGACTGATGAACTTTATACTAATAAACTATAACATAAAAGTTTTCTCTGTTTTCATGTAAATAATTAGAGTACTGATTTAGCTGCTTTACAAGGTATTTTCTCCCTCCCTTCTATGTGCCTTCGTGGTGTAATTGGATAGCACATCCAGTTAGCAGTCGAAAGCTCCAATGTTCGAATCCTTGTGAGGGCATATATTTTTCCTTCTCCTGCATCAATAAACCTAATGATCATAGCTTATCAGGGAAAATTCCTTTCAGACCTATGAAACTGCAAATTTTTATGAAAAAGTAAGCACAGGAATCATAACTATTTTAAAGGCATGACTATAATTACATTTAAAAAGTAATAATAATTCTTACTTCTAAAGATGTCACAGTTGACTTAGCTTCCTGAAAAAATGAAACAGCTTTATCAAAAAGTTATAGGCACAAAGTGTACTTCTTTGTTAATATTTAGGTATTTTGAAAATTAGAAATATCACACAATAAGTATATGCAAAAATGATGAAAAAAAACTTATATGTAGAATATGAATCAGAAAAAATAACATACAAAATTTAATTTTGCAAATATATGATAATTGAAACTATACATGAAATACTGAATAAAATACACGAAAATGTCAAAGCATGGATAAACATAAGCATTAGAAAAAAGGATAATATCTATTACTAAAATACTACATTAAAAGCAAGATGGAAAGCTAAATGAAATAACTCTCCGGTGATTTGCTTTTGTAAGAATATAATTTTCAAATATCTCACGTATGGAATAAAACAAATGAAATTCAAACATAAAAATAAGAATATGTAAGATATAAAAGAAAACAAGTGAAATATGAGATTAAATACATAATTTTTTCTCATAAGTACAGCTAAACTTCCTTATGACAAACACTCACAGTTCCACATGATTTGCTCTTCAGTTCTTAACTTTCCTGATTTGTGATGATAAAAACCATCACACAGTGATTTGCCCAAGTATACTCAGTGTCCTCAAACACTTAATATAAGTTTAGTCCAAACGCTGCAAGTGAATACTCCACTTTCACTGCACAACATACTTTCCTCCCCCCCCCCATAAAAGTGACCACTACCAATCTGAGACAGCACGGTTGCGGTTTAACACAATAGGCTTTCTACTTTGCAAAGGAAGAATGCATGGAAATTAGCTATATTTGAAGCAGATGGTAACATATTTCAGACAGGTTTTTGTTCAGTTTGCTTACCACTGCAGAATGAAATTAATTTTATTAAGCTACCATTTAAAGGGTTAAAAAGGTTATAGACTAACATTGGTGTTCAATACGCTATAAATACTTAAAGTTCACCTATGCAGATTCTCATCTATCGGTGATTAATACCATGAGAAATTTTACTGCATGATAATACACAAATTTAAAAAATACAGTCAAACTCTATAAAAACTTCCAGAGATCAAAAGTTTTGGTTTAATATTTCTGATCTGACTATGAAAAATGGATTATCTCACAAAAATATGCACTGTTTAGGACTGAGTAAAGGGAAAAAAGATTAACATTGTCACATCTACCAAAAGAAGTTATTAATAAATCTAATTAAAATGCAGTTATTAAATTAATTGTTTGTTCAGTTTCTCCAAAATGTCTAACAAATTCATTAGCCTTTTCCTGGAGCATTTGCTTGATATTGGCAGATTATGGCTTCTTTGAATGCCATACTATTTCAACAATGCTTCTTCAACCTCCCTGTATTCCATTTCTCAACTTTTTTCTTGTATCCAAGTTTTCTCTAACAGAAGAAATTATAGAATTTCAATTTTTTTCATATACCAACTGCACATTTTGATAAACTGTATTTCCGGCAGATATCAATTTGGCTGCATTCATTTTGTATTTTTTAAATGATGTTGACCTTATCTTCAATGTAGAAGCTTCCCATTTACTGCTTTCAAGTGGATGAACTTTTGACACAGAAATAAAGGGCAAAGAGCTTGATCAAAGAATACATAAGAGTTTACTCTTCTGAAAAAATATGAAAAAGATAATTTCATCATTCTATGACATCCAGTGAAAATACAATCATTTTCCAAAAGATTTGTATGATTGCAACACAGAATTCAATACTTTACAAGAACATCTAAGTCTGGCAAAAGACCTACACAATGGCAAAATCCTTATTATTGGGATTGTTCTTTCCTAAAACAAGAATTCATTGTGAAACCACAAGCTAAAGAAAGCACTACTTTCTCTTCCCCTGAATAACAAAAATTATAAAATTTCCACCATAGCACCAACCTTGAATAGAGTTCTGTCTGGAAGCACAATCGAAAAATTCAAATTGAAACAGAGGACCCATTCATACTTTTTGGTTCAACACAGTCATGTGCACCATGTGGTGTCCTAAGATTATAAGGTATTTCTCTCAATAAAACTCGCATAAATTCTGGGAACATATGACAAACACAAAAAAGTTTCAAACAAAGATATCCACACAGTTCGCTACATCAAATTTTCATATTCTTGGATATTCACTACTAGAAAGCTCGGCAGTCATACGAAATGACCGCTGTTCTAGATATTATAAATTGTAATTAAAATTATTCATGCCTGGTAATTCAAACTGAATTATCCAGGGAAGACGGCAAGGAAGCCCCTTTGCTTACTGCCCCAAAGGGTTTCCCCCTTCTACTTGCTTAATTGCTCAGAGTAGAGTGCAATGAAGGAAACCACTGGCGATACATTTCTTAAAAGCCACCACTAGCTCAACAAATAAAGGTGATTTAAATAATAAAATGTTAATTCACATGTCAAAGATCTCTTTGTACACAACATTTCTTTGTGTAGATCTTTCCATCATTTTTAAGCTTGCCTTGCAGAGGACCATCCATTATTTTTAATTTTACTTACATAAAGTTGACCATGTCCAAATGCAGGCTCAGGTAAAAAAATCCCAACACGCTTAAGCGTTTGTCCCTGAGACTTATTGATGGACATAGCATAGGTTAGTTTTACAGGAAATTGTCTACGTCTCAATTGAAACGGCAACCCTCTGGCACGGCAACTTCACTAGGCTAGTACACTTACGCAAGCAACCAATAAACTATCGGCGACAAACAGACACTTAAGCTGCATATAATAAAGATATTTATTTATTTCATTTTATTTGTTTTTTTCATTGTTGCCGGTTCCATATTTCCAAATTCTATTATCTATAGATGTTAAATTTATTTATTAAATGTTCAATGCACATGCTCTTGTATTTTTTATTTTTCCGGCTTAGCTTTCTCATAATATTCGTCACACGCTGCAATGCACAGCGAATAAAACAATTTACAGTTACGCAAGCAACCAATAAACTATCGGAGACAAACACTTAAGCCGCATATATATAAGATAACAGTATAAAATAACATTAAGCATATAGGATACTGGATAGGACTAAAAGATTAATTAATTTTATCCTTATTATAATCACTATCATTATTCGTTATTCTAAGACAAATTTGTTACAGAGGGGTTTATCTGTAATTCATTCCTAGACCAAAGAATATAGTTTGATATAAGTTATAATAAAGTCAGAGTTAGAGCTGTTGTATCAGGCAAATGATTTTGTCAGACAATAAAAATGTTTGTATTTAATGAAATATTAATGAGGAAATACAATAAAAGCTCAACTAACTAGAAGGATTCAGCAATGCCAGATGCCGGACACGTGAAAATTCTGGAGAGTCAAGAGTACAAAAAATGCGATTCAAGGTAGAAATGATAAATGAATGGAAGAAAAAATTTCAGTCTACAATTTAAAAGAAAAAAAGTCTTTTTTGTTATCAACTTAAATATCAAAAGTCTATATTTATCAGTATGTTAAATTTCTTCTAGTAGTTGATTCCTCGATATTATGATTTTTAAACAATTATGTTATATCGACCATGAAAGTTGATCCCACCAACTGGCACCACCAAACATTCCAGCAAAAACTTGAAAGACGCGATCTAACTTTATCTAATTTGATAATCAACAGACACAAATTAAGGATATAGCATATAAAAATCTTAAAACACTTGTTGTGATATTATAATATAATAAAGAATAACATAATTTTGTAAATACTTTGCTACATGTTGTTCATTTAGTGCAAGTTCTAAAATTTTAATCTTTTCAAACAGATAAGTATCAGTTAACTTACATGCTTCATCATAAAACATGAAATGTCTTATTGAAAATTAACTACAGAAAACCAAGATGAAGATCTTAAGATTGCAATGGGTGTCATGCTTATCTATAGCTTGTGGTAAATCACACTGTTTGGTAACAGCGAGATTTTGTTATGAATCATAGACCTAGACGTGTTTCATGATGGTTGTACAAGTCTCTCATTGTTTAATTTTTTCATTTAAAAAAAATCTTCTAAAATTTTAAAACACTCCAGTTACTTGAATGCTAAATAGTTGAGCAATTGCCATAATTAAAATAAATGACTATTATATGTGATAGTGAAATTATTAGCATTTACATATGATAATAATTATACTATTAAAATTATGATGCAAGTAAATATACATTATATTTACTTACATCATAATTTTAAAATGAGTGGCTTAGCTCCATGAGAATCTCAGAAGAATGGAAAATTTTCATATTGAACTATAAAAGAGTTTATGTCCCCCCCCCTCACTTATCAAAAGTTCCCCACAGCATGCAAGAATACTTTTTTACTTATCTTCCAGATCCAGCTCATGAAGCTCATCAGCTGGATCAATTTTTTCAAAGACAATCATCTCAGCTTTTGTCAGATTTAATCCTTTGCTTAGTTTCGAAATAATCACAGTTTATTCTGTCGCGTAGAATAAGTTTCTTTAAGAATGCTTTGGTTCCAAAATCGTAGACAATTACTAACATGAGTTCCAGGATATTCAACATCCATTTATAATTAATTGTCTCTTTGGCATAACAACTCCAATAACAAGAGCATTTGATCAGCTTTCATATTAATTGCAAAATTCATAACTGCTATAAAAAGGAGGCATAGATTTTTCTAATGCCTTTTACAAGTTTTTGCACAAATTCATACGTTGATTCCCCTAAAGATGTTTTTTTCTGTTAAGTCCAGATTTTGACCTATGGTTGCCTTTAAACTGGCAGAAAGATATTTAGCATAAACCATTTAATTACAGATATAATAATCACTGTAACTATCTTGTTCATTCTGTGATCTGACTATGTGACACTGATTGAAGCAGACAAGTGGTGCTTATGGTCAAAAGGGGGGATTCATGTTTCGGGTCAAAATTCCACATGATTGACTGAACTTATTATTGACTATTAACATCCCCGTAAAAGCCTAGTTTCAAGATCGGGAATAATGCTCGAGCATGACATATGGTCAACATAAAAGTAGTCATCCAAATCTTGAAATTTAGTTTTCAGATTACTGAAAGGCTAAATTTGTTTTTAACAGCTTGTAGCCTCTCTGAATAATAAATCATAAGCACAAAGTGTTACCTGAAAATTAACACTTCTCTTTCACTTAAAAAAAAATGAGCAATTTGCAATTTATTTTTCACTTCCTTATCACAAACTTTTATGCTGTAAATAAAAGCATGCCTGGGAGTCCCAGCGAGAGCACTGCACATATTTCATTCTTCCTACTCCAAAAAACTTAATGACTCAGCAAGTGGTGCCCGAATTGAAAGATAGTAAACAATAATTTGTCACCACCAGGTTTTAGAGATTGGGTCCCCTCCCTCCCCATTAATCTTTAAGAGCGGAAGTATGTACGGCATTTTCTGTTTCCTTACCATGTACCTTCACGACGTAAGTGGAAAGTACATCTGGTTAGCAATCGAAAGGTCCGGAGTTTTAATTCTGGTGAGGGCATTATATATTTTTTTATCTTTATTGCTTTGAAAACCTAACAATTCTCTAATATTTTCCTTTAAAAATTTAATTTCACTGATGCTGAAGGCAGTATAGTCTTCTAAATTTACTTTTTTCTCAAAACAATTAGGGAACTAATTACATGACTTATTCTGCATCAGCACTTGCAGCAGAGCATGACCTTTGAGATACAACCCCAAAAGTGGTCAGAAACTTTTATTAAGTCTTCAAATGTTGGCATTAATGTTGTTAATTTTTGTATCATTATGTTTATGGACTATTTCAGGCTAAGTGAAACTTCTGACACTTCTCATAATTCAATGAGACAGACACTTGTGAATATAAAATAAGTGTCTTCAAAAAATACATATTTAATTACAAACCTTTTCAATCCCTTAGCCATTTATCTGATCACATACAGTCTCCAAAATAAGATAATTCTTCCAATGCACACAGATTAAAATATTGCACACCACTGCACCATAGTGCATGGAAATAAAATGCAAGTTTACAATGTTAAATCACTAAAGTATGAAAAATGATACATTTCCCCTACATTTTTCATTTATGAAATATTCTTGCGATAAATTCTTTTGTTCAGATATATAAATACAAAGAGCATGAATTTAATGCCTAACTAGAAGCCTTTTTTTAGTATTGAGCTTTAAGTAAAGTTTTCTTAAAATTAAAAGCTTTAATATCAAACAAATATTTCTACATTAATTACTATCAAAATTTCAGATTTTTAATTTAATTAAATTCAAACAAAATTTTTGATTCAATAAACAAAATAATAATAGAACTCAAATATTATCTTCTTTTATAACACTAAAATAAATTTATAAGGATAAGTCCAAGCCAAAAAAGCAATTTTTGAAGACCTAAAACATCAAAACTTTTCCCGACATCCAACATAAAAGAAAACCACATTAAATTGAAAAAACAAATAAATAAATCTATGAAATGTTACACCGGAAGCAAGGAAGAATCATTACTCCTTAAACTATATAAGTCTCAGCAATATTTTTAGAGAGGAGAAGGTTGTTTTAAACATAGTAATAAATTATATACTGGCATCAATTTAAAACTAAAGTGTACTGTATGTAAAAAATTCATTTTGAGATTCACTTGTTTCATTAATTTTTACTACTGAAGAATTTTACTATTTTCAAAGCATGATTTGACTGTTTCATTTAAACACTAATTCATTGTTTCACTTAAACACTAATTCGAGAATAATTTATCCATTAAGTAATATATATGGCTCATTTTTCAAATGGAAATTATCTTTTTATGCTAGCAATCTTGCACAAATGGATTTAAAGTTTCTAGACTTCCATAATGGCTAGGTAAGCCTTCGTGCTGCTAGGCTTTAAGATTGACATCTTGAAATGATAATATTAATATTTCATACAGATGCATCAATATATTTTCTAAAAATTCAAACCAACATACACCAACACACACACCAAAAAAAGATGGGATTTTATTAGAAGTGGTTACCAGTTATAAACAACATATATGTCTGTGAATACCTTTACATTCAGTTTGTATGTAATAAGGATCCCTGATGAAAAATGCATACATGATAATAATAATAGTAATGTAATTGCTCATATGTGATAAAAATTCAAATACTGTAAAAAGAATACTATCTCTATGCAGAAAACACTTTTCTCTCTCTCTTTAATTTCAAGCAAACATAATATAAAATCAAGCTCAGACAAAAAGGTTTATGCAGAATGCTGGTGAAATTAATGGAGGTTGATGAAATTAAAGCAGAAAGGAGGGTAGTTATCATTAAACCAATGTTTCCTACACATGATCAGACGATAATGGTTAAGAAAAAATAATGATGGTTATGATGACAGAGAGAAAGAAACGTATGCTAGGAAATTTGAATTTGATTTGCTTTACAGACACTGCTATAACGATAGATGCTCAAAAAAATCTAAGAACGTTAATCTAGAAAAAGTTGTATATATGCAACCATATAGACAGTAAGATTAGCTATTAGTGCATAGATGCTGCATGAAAAACAGTTTACACTATAAATTTTTTTAAATGCATGAAAAACATTAATTCTTGAATTACTAATTTAAATTTAATTATAAATGATCCTTAATGGCATAATTTTATGAGTACAGAATACTATTTTATCAAATTATGCATAACCAGGAGATTTCTTTTATTTATCATATATCTATATATCATTTATTTACATTGCATTTTCTTAAAACTCTTTTAAAAAGCATTGCAAACTTTTATACCTTTGCAGCTTCAGCTAAATGGGAGTTTTCTTTTATCAAAGCTTCATGCTGTTCAATCAAGGAACTTTTTTTCTGTAAGTCAGTATACATTTTAATTTTTTTAGCCTTTAAATCATTTATCCTTCCTTTCAATACTTGCACTTGTTCTCTGAAGTCATTAATCTTCTGTTGAATCAAATCAATTTCTTGAGCTATGCACTTCCTGTCAGGATCAATAAAAGCTTTAAAGTATATAATATTATTTACACATACACTGTTAAATGAAATTGTGTATAGTGAAATCTTAAACATAAAAGACTTTAAAAACATTTTGAATACACAGTAGACTTCTGAAATAATGAAACTGTAAAGACTAGCAAAATAAACACATGAAATAAAAAATTTGCAAAAGGAATAGTATTAAAAAGGCCAATATAACAGTGCATTAAAAATAAGCAGGTTTTATAAACACAAAAAACACCATAAAGTGAGATCATTTAAGACTTACACTTCTTGCTGAAGAGAATTTTGTTCTTCAACAGCTTGTTGAACATTCCGTGAAAGATCTAATAAATGAAAGAAAAAAATAATTTGAATTATTTTAAAAATTATTTCCAACTTGGATTAATGAGTTAAATAAAGTCAAGCTTCAGTTTAATGAAAGTATATTAGTACCTTTATTAGCAATCTGTGATTTTAAAAATGTCAAATTTCTTGTAAGTCGTTCTATATCACGCTGAGTTTGACCAATCTGAATAACATCAGGAATAATATTAGATGCTGTCTTCAAGTCACTGTTTATGTCATCCAAGACTTCCTCTAACTATAGAACCAATGTAATGTAAAATTTTATTTTCACATTAGATTTAAACATAATCAAAGAAAGCAGAGTGACACTGTTAATATAACATTATGTTAAACGAGTTGTAAAATTTATACACTGACATTTACATTCTAGACATTAAGAACACATATTAGTATAGTACAATATGACTATCATTTTGCATTATGTACCAGCCTTCTTCACTGTGTAACATTATTTTGAACAAAAATGCACCATGGTTAATAATTAATAAGGTTTTGGATGAAAATACACATTTAATTACATACTTAAATTTATATGAAAGCTAGAAGAGAGCCATATGATACTTATGCAAGTGCAAAATTAACAATTTCTGACATGAAATAGAAGAATATGTAGTATGTATAACCTAAAGCCCTAGTCTTCAAACTTTTTAATTATACACACCTCTTATAAATATAATATAAATAATTATTTATCACAAATATTCCTGACTAAAAAAACAAGGTTTCATTTTAATATATGAATTATTTACAAGCTTATACACTTGTCAAAATTATTTGTTAACATACATTTATGAAAGAATGCAATTCTGATTTCATACATATAAAAAGCTGGTTTTGAATATTGGATAAATATTTTATGGTAGCTAGCTAAAAATCTAATTCCTAATACGATTTTTTTTTTAATATCTGAATTTAGTATATATCCCAGCTGAGTTAAAAAAGGGGGATACTGAAGAATAAAATACTTCTGTAAGTTGATCCAAATGAAATGGCCAACTTTAAAGATGAGCCCCCCCCCAAAAAAAAAGAAAAAAAAAAAAAAAAGAAAGAAAGAAAAAGAATAACAGTTCCATCAAGTTATCTTCATCAGCAACACATCATTGCCAACATGTAGCAAAGACATTTATATCACATTTGTAAAAACCAGTGTGATGAAGTCCTTTACTGTTGACAAACTGATTCATCATTGGGAAATATTTCTTACACTAAATATGGTTCAAGTGATGGAAAAAATTGGCAATCTGTTGGGTAATTGTTAGGAAATATTAAAAAATGAGGGACAAGTTTGCATCCACAATTATTGACTTGATGTATAGTTGACAATGTCATACGTAGTCAGACATTATCTTAAAGAAATAAGAATATGTTTTTATTAACAATTACAGCTTTCTTAAAGCATAAGTTGTCATGCATTTTGCCAAACCTGCTGTACAATAGCAAGCTGCATTTATTGTTCTTCTCATTAAAGGAATGAATTATAAATAACACCAGCAGATCACCATACAGTAAAAAAGAACTTCTTTTGAAAAGTGCCATTCGAGTCCTCCCGCAGTATCTTTTGCTCACAACAGCAATGAACATGATTGTCGGAGAATATCCACTTCTCATCCTCAATTACAATTTGGTGCAGGAACCTTTTTTTTTTTCTTTACTTCTTCTTAAAAGAGAAAAGCATGCCTCCAAACACCATTCTTTGTTTAAATCACACCCTAGTTGATCTTCCTTACTTTTTCTTTTATTGTCAATTGACATGAAATGGCTGAATAATGTTTATTTAGTGAATGAATGATCTTTTAAGCAGTTTATTACAGATGCATCACATGCCTTATTAATGTTTTCTTTATTCATGTTCATGCAGACTCTCCCAGTTTGAACTTGTGAAAAGTACAGCAGCATTAACTAACTGGGTTCTGTGATTGACTTAATGTTGGTAATATTTTATATGTAATACTTGATGAATGAAATAAATACTGTAAATGCATCATAAACACATGACACATGCGATGTGAAAAAAAAATTGTATAAACTTTAGTGCTTGCTATAACCAGTGTAAACCTAACATCATTCAGCAGCCATTTCTTTTGCAACAACCAATATTTCAATCTATAAATATATATATATCAAGAAAGATAGATAGATAGATAAATAGATCTAAACACAAATGCCTCACTCTATTAGCTTATTCTATTGTTTGCATACTGAAAATATTCATCATTCAGTCTGAAAATTTTTTATGCAGCTAAAATTCTTCTGAAATTCAACGCTATTTTATTAACTATTTTTGAATAATTTATTAGATATTGAAAAATTGTTAAGAAATAATACATACAAAACCCATCAAAAACCTTCTTAAAAATTTCATAATGGTTTTATAAAATTCTTGATCTTCTAAATCAGAAATTGACCCTATAATTGCCTTTTCCACTGCAAGTTTCTTGTGGTGTAAAACTGGTAGCATATCCAGCTACCATCCAAAAATCCATGGATTGATCCCAAGTGAGGGCATCACTGACTTCTCATGCTTTCTGGCTCAAAAAGAAAAATCTAAAGTGGCCCCCAACTAAAACGTGGTGGATTGATTAATTCATCACCACCATTTGGATTCAACGACCGGTTCTTCTCCCTCCCCAGTCACTTTAAGTTGAACAGAATAAATAAAATTTTCACTTTGTGAACTGCTCTCATATGTAACTGAAAGCACATCTGGCTAGCACCGGAAGATCCGAAGTTCAAATTCGAGCAAAAGCATACCTCACTTTCATACTTTCAAATTGATAAAAAACTAATAGCTCTATAACCTCATATCTGACTTCATTATATAATGCCTTTTTCACAACTTTATTTGGCAATTTTAGGTTGTGATGAATGACAAAATAAGATTATTAATGAAAAGTTAGTAAGCTGCGAAATTAAAAGTATGACTAACATTGAATGAACAATGAAAATAACAGAAAATGCACTTCAATAACAAAATGACCTGTAAACTAATTACTTTACTTCCACTGTTAAATCAGCAACAGTCTGTTGAATTAAACTGTTAGTTATCATTTTGTAATAAGCTGTTAAAATCTTAGCAAATATCAATTTATATCTAAATTTTATTTCTATGTGAAATTATTTATGACTTTAAAATAAATTTGTGAATTATGGTTATTTGCATTTCTGAATGAACTCTGTCATATGACCTATGCTGAATATTACTATAGTGTCTGATACTCTTTGCTGCTTTTATGTTCAAGAGGATATGTACACAGCTCCCTTTGATGACACCTTGTACCAGAAAATGAATACGTTAGGTTTTGGATAGGAACAAGGTAACTGCACAACAGCTGCAGGAGTGCACTTACCAAATACGTGCCACAACTGCACTATGAAAAACAAATACACCTTGGTACCTTAAAGACAGGCATTTCAAAATTAATTGTAAATATAATTCTGTAAGCACTAATTCTATATCTCTTATATCTAAATAAATTTATATATAAATAAATATATATTTATGAGGCAGTATACAACTGCCTCCTTCTTATGTGGACTGCTTCAAATCAATAAATCAAACCAATACATCTAGCTACAGGAACAGAAATTTCATCAAAATTCATACCCATAAAAAATAAATAAAATAAATAAATAAAAATTAACAAAAAATAGTTACAATGCAATATATTACCTCATTTATTTTAGAGGTAGATTTTGTTATATCAGCTGTAACCACCTCTATTTTCTTTTTCAACTCCGGTATTTCTTTCTCAGCAAGAACACTAGCCTACAAGAAATATGAAAATAATATTTAAAATTCCTCAAATATTTTTACAGTAAAAGAACAAAAAATACAGAAAACTCAGTATTAACTGCTGCGAATATCACAATAGGCTTGATAGTAAAACATCGTTTTTATTTTGAACAGGAAAAAATATTCAGAAGTATATTTTTCTTAAATTCGTACCACACTAGGGATAATTAAGGTGCTCCACAATTTCAATATACGCAGCTTACATTTCAGACAATAGAGAAAGAATGCAAAGTGAGAGACATGGTTTATTCAAGCAGTAGCAGGCAAGAAAAGTAATGGGTACTAACAGCGGTCATATTTATAGCTGGAAAGTCCTTGTGTTAATGCTGAGCAGCGAACGGGCTAAAAATTTCTCAGTGCTGAGAAATTGCATGGAAAAAGTGATGTAACATGCTAAAGAATGACACAAAATGGTGCAAAGCGTATCTTTGCAGCAGGGATGTGTTTAATTAAAATTTATGAAACTGAAGGTTTGTTGCCAGTTGGTTCCAATTACGTTTAATAATAATGTTTCATATTTTACATATTATATATATATCAGTTTCTGAAAGCTTAGCTTTTTTTAATACCTTTTGACCTAATCACATCGATACTACGGAATTTCTTCAGCAGATGGAGCTATAGTTCATAACACTAGTGACCTATATAATTAGATCAATTGATGATAATTAGATCAACCTATTGATCAATCTGGTACTAACTGATTTTTAGCTTTTCCTGAAAATCACTCCTCCTTTCTTTCTCTCTATATATACACAGAAATAAGGTCTACCAGAAAGTTCTGTCAGATAGTGTTATATCAAGTTTCCCCACACATGCAGGTAAGACAGTCTTTTCTGTGTTAACCGAAACAAAAGCATCTCATATCTTTACTTAGTGAGACACAATCATATAAACATGGCTACCGATTAAGCTCCTTTATGACACCATATTTTGTACAAACTTCAACACGGAAAATATGCTACAGGAACATGGCAAAATTTAGTAACAGTTTTTGGTAGAGATGCAGTTTTGGACAAAATATGCAGGAGATAGTTCAAAAAATTTGAAGCAGGAAATTTCAAACTAGGCCCCGCTCAGTCTGACTATCTATGATTGATGATGATGTTGTCAAGACTACAACAGCAAGATCTTTTTTGACATCGGAAATTGTGGAAAAGATTAATTCAGCTCAAACAATTTCAGTCCACATTTAGAAACCATATTTGATCTGTAAATATTTTAGATGAATATATCATAAGTGAGAAAAATTTGCATGATTAAGTAGCCATGTGTACATTTCACCTTGCTGGGAACAACGAAAACAAACCCCTTTTGGACTGGATGACTACTGGCGGTGAAAAGTGCATTACCTATGAAAACATCATTACGAAAAGAACATACTGTGAGCCCGGACAATCTAGCCCTCTAAACCGAGTTTGAATTTGAATAAGAGAATGCAGTTTATATGGTTGGGGCATCCAAGGACCAATACATTACAAGCTTTTGAAACCTGAAGAAAATTCAGAGAGTACTGTCAGCAAATGAATGAGTTAAACAAACCAATCAAAAAAGTGGCCAGCGATGTTCAATTAGAAAGTATATTATACTGAATCATGATAATGCTGTACCACAAGCTGCTTTGGTGATACATCAGAAAATCACAGACCTAAGCTGGGAAATTCTGCCACAACCAACGTACTCCCCACACCTAGCACCCTCCAATTATCACTTTTTTTCTCTCTTTGCAAATTTTTTGAAGGGGAAAAAATTCAAAACTGAAGCAAATATCAATCAAGCACTATTTGAGTTCTTCGCCTCTAAGGACAAGATGTTTTTTTCAAAAATAGTATCCACGTATCACATTCATGCTAGCAAGAGGTCATAAATAATGACAGAATTATATTGTACAGTAAATATTAATTAAAGGTATGAAAAATGTATTACTTTCTTTCACTTCCCAAATGGACAGAATTTCCTGATAGACCTTACAGAAACATAAAGATATTTCTACATATAAAATTATTTATATATAGATACTTCTATATATAAAATTTAAACATATATTCTTAAAAAATGAAATTACATAATCAGGAAGGTCTGGGAATAGCTGATTGTCCAGCTGAGACAAAGACAACTTACACAATTGTTAGAAGCAATGAATTTCTTGCGTGCAGAAATATATCAAGGCTAGCAGTAGCCATGCAAAAAATATTTAAATAGTTCTTTTTCAAATAAAAGGTGGAGATCATACATCTAAACAACTCCCGTGAAATTAAATAATCTTTGATTCCATTTCTAATACACTAATAAAAAATTATAATTTATAAATTATAATAACAAAGAAATAGAGGACTACAATGAAATATCAATAGATTTTCTAGAACATACAAAAGAATTCTCAGTATGCACAAATATTATACTGTATTTGCTCATGTATTTTTCCTCTTAGCTGCATAAGGTTCTGGAAAAAACTCTTTTTTTCGTAGTCACGTAACTTCCCCTTTCCTCAAGGCATTCAGGCAGTGAGCCTCCTTAAGTTTTTAAATAGATTTGCCCATGATAAGATTGTTTTCATCATTTTAGTTTATTTGCTTGTGAATTTTGTGTGCATGGGCTCTGTTTGATGAAACAATTATAGTGAAGAGTTTCAAGGAAGCAGAGATAAATGCTGTTCATGATGGTTCTGGAAGATTACTGCATGTGGGAAAACAGAACATACTGAATGGTGACAAAGATAACAGCAGCGATGATGGTGATGACCTGCATGCTGTAGCACACATCATAGACAGCAGTTCCAGCAATACTTCTGGAACTGCTGTCTTAAGTGGACAATAATAAGATTGCCAAGATTCAAGATACACAGAACACAAATGAAGCTGTCTCATTACATATTGGTAATGTTAATATTACTATGTAATCTTACAGGAATGTAGGTTCTTATAAATAAACAATACTGTGATACTAGTTACCAGTAGTTTATCCATTAATATTCTTTATTTGTTATGTTCTTACTGCAACCATAACCTTCAGAAATGGAATTATTTGCCTAACTTCCCCTTTTCAATTTTCCTATGATAGAATTAATAAAAAAGGGGGAAATACACAAGTAAATACAGAACTATATTAGACAGATGACTTTTGTTATGAATAAAAAGTTTAAAAGTTCACACAGGAAGAAGAAAAGTCTGATATATATGAAGTCTAAAAATATTATGAAAGGAAGGGGAAAATATACATACAGTCTCTTTTATAGGTTTCAGCTCCAACATCTGATTCAGAATTTTTTCCTTTGATGCTATTAATTTTGATTTCTGATCAAGTGTAGCAGGTACTGATTGTAGTTTCCTTTGCAACTAAAATAGTTTAAACATAGAATTTAATGGTAAGAAAATACAAAATATATATGAAAATATACAAAATCAAGATAGTTAAAACTCTCCTCTAAATACAGAAAGAACTTACATCTTTTATCAATGACTGAGCTTCCTCTTCAGCCTGGAAAGCTCTCGTACAAAGAGGGCAGCACGGACGAGGCTTTTCTAATTTTTCTACATATTTATTATAAAGGTACAAACTTCCAGTTAATGCCCCCTTTTCACTAAAAAAAAAATAAATAAATAAACAAAAACATTTTTTTTTTTTTTTTTTAAATCTCCAAATCTTAAATTTAAACTTGCTAGTGTGATAACAAAACAAATTAACAAAAGTTCACTTACTCCTGAAGCTCTTTAATCATATTTTTCAAAGAAGTTATATTGTAATCATAGTCTTGACTTCCACATAAATCAAAAATCTTTTTTTGATTTTCAGATAAAGTTTCCTCTTTAGCCAATAACTGGCTCCTAAAAGAAGAAAGAAATTAAATCTTTCACCTACTTCAAAATAATACAATCTGCAATTTATTTGTATTAAAAGATGTACTAGTACTATTGCAAATTCATAAACTTATACTGCAAAGGAGAAATGCAAAGCACCTTATTAACTTAAGGCCAACAATAACAAATATAAACTTAAAAAAAAAAAAAAGAAAGAAAGAAAGAATTTATCGAACAATCATAACTCTTATTAATATTTAAATGCATATGAAATAACTCAAGCAAGTAACATTTGATTTTAATATGATAAAGAGAAGAATGTAATGAATTTGTTTCTCTACCTTTGGCCTACCTTGCTTTTAATGACTTTATTGACACTTTGTAGTGAATTTTTTTTTTTTTTTCTTTTAATATAAAAAAAAAGGGGAGGAGAAAAATAATTTATTTTCTAATGCTTCTCATATATGTATTCAAAATAAAAAATTTGGGGAAGACATCATATTTAAGAGGCAATGTTTCACTTCTAAGAACCTCTCAACAAATACTCAAGACATCACTTTGATTTATGACTTTTGTGCTATATTTTAAATACATGAAAAATTTTGGATTTGTACTTTTAAAAATTGTTTTCTGATCATTTTTCTTTTCAGATATAATCAATTTTCTTATGTCTTTTGAAAATACCAAAACAAAAGATCTGAATACCAAATGTATAAAAAATTACTCTAAATAACAATTTATAAGCCTATGAATCATATTTTTATATTATAATTGTGTTCCACATTTGCTGATTTAGAATTCATTATTTACAATAAAAAGAAAGAGTTCACATTCAAAATAGAAGCCAAATAAGAATAAGCTATAATAACACAATAAAATGTTCATTACTGATTTGCCCTGCATTTCTCACAGTGAGAACTTATGAACACCAGTATAGATCCTTCTGATACTTTCTCAGATTGCAAATTAAATATGATGGCAAGGAGTTACAGCTATGGTAAAACAATATTTACTCATCTAACCTTAGACTCACATGAAATTTTAAAAAAATAAATAAATAAATAAATAAAGAGAATTGAAAGCTTTCAGATTTTATATTATGCCCAAATGAGCATTTTTTTCTTTACAGATGCATTTCAAGAGCATTTGGGCTAATGCCACATTGTGATACAAATATTTAAATACAGCTTATCTTTAGAATTTTCGATATACAGTTTCGCATGCTGGAGATAAACATGTTTTATTCCCTACAGTGCTGCCTTTGCTTGATTTGAAATTGTTGAGTTTTTTAATCAAAAAAATTTTACTAAAAAATTTTACAAACATTAAAATTTTACAAAATACGAAATAAACAAAAAAAAAAAAAAATTCAAAATTTGGACTTCCAGGTGCTCATGTTCAAGTACAGGACTATGTTCTTCAAAATTTGATGACTCTAGGTACCGTTGTTTTTTCCACAGTGCAAGAAACATACATACATTCATGTAGATTCTTCATTATTTAGTTTCTTTAAATATAATAAAGGGTGATAATATCTGGTGGCAACAATGTGAAAAGGAATTCAGACATTTAAAGTAACGTGATGGAAAATACCTTTTTGAGACTAATAGCCTTCCTAGGCTAATGCCCATTTGGGCTAAAAAATTCTTTTAGGCTAACATATCAGAATGCTTTACTTGTATGCATTTCAGAGAGAAAAATTATATAATGTAGTATTCAGAATACTATGCAATATTTTATATAACAGTACAGTATATAACACAACATATAACATACTTTTCTCAAAGTTTGTTAATGATTTGGTGTGCAATTTATTAATTAAACTCCATTATATTTATGCAAGTCATAACAATATCACATTTAATACAGTATTTAAAGGACCTGGAATGCATTATCTGAAGATACAGGCATAATAATATATTAAAGATCAGTAAGACAATGTTAGCACCATTTTTCAAACTAAGTTATAATTTGATACAAAACATATTTTTAAAATTAGTAACATAAAATAATGCAGATTTTATTCCTTTTTAATATTTATTACTCAAAGGATTATATTTTCGTTACTTACTTGTGAAATTCTTTTGTTGTTTCAAGCGAAGACAGAAGACCACGTTCTTTCTCCAAATCTTTATTCATTTTCTGAATTTTTTGGTTCAGTGAACTATGAAACAGAAATGATAATTAAAAACTTCTTCCAAAAAATTTATAATTTTCTTGCACTAAAAATAAAATTACACTTTTTTAGGGGGTTGGACAGAGGTAACAGCAGTTATGTACAAAAATTGCTCAAAGTAAAAATCAATCACTTTCACTAGCTTTTAATTTCTTACTGTAACATTTTGGCAACAGCATTAAATCAAATACATTGCTTACACCTTTTCATTAAAGAACTGACACAAGAATAAAATTATAAAACAAATTATTCTCTGTCATATAAATTAATTTTTATACACTTATTCTTATAAAAGATTGAGTTACATCATACTAAAATTAATTTTCACATATATTTAATCAAAAAATTTGATATTACATTATTGAAAGTTTAGTACATTTTTATTGTAAATGTACTTTTATGAATAAAGAAATCTTTAACATATTATCCAACATAAAAATGTAATTATAAGGTATGTTACCTGTAACTGATCTAGCAGTGGTGTTATATTTGGAATATAAATGCTATTGAGGATACTGCTAATACGATAAGTTATATTTAATTAGTTACTAAAATTTATGAATTTAAAAGCTCATTTAAGACTTACAGGTGAATGAATTTAATACATCTGTTCTCTAATAAAGTATATTTTTAATTTTTTATCTCACTCTGAAACATCAAAACTGCTGGGTGAAAGCAAAACATGCCAATTTAAAGTAAGATAAAATTTCAAACCTAAACTACATTTAGTTTCACCAAAACTCTTTGTGTATTAAAAAAAATAAATAACATAGATTCTCTTTCCTGCAAGAAACAATAACAAAAAAATTCTTAGCCTTTATGGCAAAGTTCAGGTACACATTCCATTGAAATTAAATTCAAATGACTGGTTGGTTAGTAGTTGATTATGAGAAATCATGCAAGGACTATTTACCTTAGAAGGGATGCCTTTGTGGAATGTTGCCTTAGAAAAACTCTCTCATATTCACCTTACACATGGAAAAAAAACTGCAAAATCATATGCAGTCAGCTTATTCGCTGCACATCCAAACCAGAATAAATTACTACTGTTCAGTAGTCTTACACACTTAGCTACTGGTGAATGTTGAAAGGTTTACTGTAACGGTGCAGAATTTCTCATGATTAATGTCACAGATGGCATACTAATGCAGCTTTCATACACAGTTCATCTATAAAAGTTCCATCCAATAAAACCAAAGTTTTGATTGAAGCAGTAAATAGGGCAGAAAGAAAAGTATTTTAAATATAAATTTATGAAATGATAAGTCTCAAAACCAGTATTGCAACAATGAGTATTAACTGTCTAGTATGAAAAATAATTAATTATTTTTAAATGCTTATTTTTTAATTGAAAAATATATAGAATAATTCTGTTCGAAGTATTGACACATATAATCTTACTTTCCACAAGTTTAATTTTTAGTTGGGAAGATGTAAAATATTTTAAAAAAATTAATTAACACACTAAAAATCTTTTTAACAATGGAAAAGAAAAAAGGATTATTTAAAAATGTATGCTAACAAGCACAGCAAATTTTAAGCTTTTGCTGGTAATACAAAAATAAACAGTCTTAAACATACTTTATTAAAGTAGTAAGTTTTTCGTGGATACCATCTTCAGGTAATTCTTGAAGAAGATGCACAATAGTTTCCCTATGGCGACTCAATCTAAACAAATCAAAAACACATAGTGTGAAAAGATTTTTAGTTTCTCTTAGAATATGACCCTGAAGAAAAAAATAGTGTTCTACATATAATTAAAATTACTGCTTACATTTTATTAATTGCTTCTTGTTTAGAACTAATATCTTTTTTAACTATATCTATTTCAGTTCTTGTTTGATTTTCTTTATGCAGCTCATTGATTTCACGGCTGAAAAAATATTTAAAATTAATGAAAAATCTCACAATAACTGAATAGAAAAATCAAAACATGAAAACGAGACTGCAAAATTCTCCACAGATATATCATGAATGAGAAAATTTACTGCAAAACATTTTATACCAAAATCATAAGTATGAAAATATGAGTATGAAATATGAGTATGAACCATAAGTATGAAAACATTTTTTACATTTGATAATATTAAACATGAATTTACTCAAATTAAAATTAATTTTTTTATAAATCAAATTTAATGGAATTTCAAAATCAGTTCACATTATGATAGGCACAAAGTACACTACTAAGTTATATGCCTATCCTATTATAAAGCTGCATTAGGAATTCAATAAAAAATAATGCAAAAGAATTACTCTAACAGCAATAATATAAATGAACAAAATTTTGGATTTCAGTAACATATTTACTCTAGAGCATATTTTGCAGTATTAAATAAGGCAGAATTTGGAACCTGAAAAGTAAAGTCTAATTTATAGTGATACATAATTATACTCATTAATATCCATACAAAGCATCATGTAATATGCATAAAGTACAGCTTATGGAAGGAAATAATAATGTTTAATGTATTTATATACACATAATAGGAAATTATCATACTTTCAGTACAATATATTGTACTCATAGGTGAAATAAGGGAGAGTAAAAAGTGTTCAGTAGCTGAATAATGAGAAACATCACTGCCAGAAGGAGAGTGATATATAAAATAATGAGATGAGGATATGAGGATAACTAATATGTAAAAACCACAGAAAAACTGAATTCATTTATATTGCAAATTGTATAAAGACTAAGTAAAAACTACTTCAGAAAAGGGCAAATGTTAAGAACTTTCTAAAGGAAATTAGCTCATAATCACATTACACATGGAGAAAAAACAAAACCCATCCACCGGCCCACTTCAGCTCCCAGAAATCAGAATCTAAATCCAGAATGAAACACATGTGATTTAGAGTTTTATGCCTTTATAGTAACAGATGAACTTTACAAAATATAAATAGCATTTATTTAATTTGATTTAAACAATGTACACATACTTATGACAATCATAAAAAATAATACAAGCTCATGGTTTCCACCTTCCCTAAATAATCACCACTGAAAGCAACCGAATTTCTGGAACATAATAAAAGTATTAACTCTCTGACAGCTTAAATTTTTGTATCAAAACCACTTCAAAAATTTGAAAATTGCATATTTTTTTACATATTTCAAATCTACATGTAGTTTAGAGTTAAATTACATAACATATTTTTGTAACCAAGATTTTTTAAACATGGATTTTGTGGATAAGAACCAGTTTTCATAAAAATCAATTTTAAGAGTAATTACATTAAGACAAAAATTCTGAACATACAACTTGATTAAATTACGATTTACTTTACATCATACAAATGTAAAATATGTATACTAGTGAAATATTCAGCATTTAAACAAATTTCAATAGAAATAAAGTTTAGTGCAGTAAATTTCAAAACAAGGTTCCAGACAAATTCTACTTCATATTCTTCATTGATTAATTGTTTCCTAATGGAATATTTTTGCCCGTCATAGTTTTTTTTTTTTTTTTTTTTTTTTTTTTTTAGGGGGGAGCAGGTAAAACAAACTGTGAGGCTCTTTTCTTATGAAAATAAGAGGTATGCGGCTTGCAAAATGACAAACTGCCAATCTCAAAGGAACTAGATCTTGAGAACAATACTAGGTCTTTCAGGTATATCTCATATATCTCTCTCTAAATACTTCTAGATACTCTGATAAACCATTTGCATTCAAAATTACATAAATTTTAATTTTTGCAATGGGTTACCTCTTTTTTTTTTATTTTATTTTTTATTTATTTATTTATTTTTCCCCAGATCCAGTCATTTTGGGTGGTTAATGAACAATTCTAGATTCTTCACTATCTGGAGATGAGTCCAAAAAGTAATAATCTGTTTTGCTACTGCTATCTTCAAATTAATTAAAAACGCTTTCACTATCACAAGTCCCAAACGTACATTCTATCACTTGCTGAGTGCTTCCAGAAAGCCATAATTCTGAATATGAAAATCTGATCTGTACACCACATGATTTTCTTGTACGAAATATTAAATTACATGCATTTTTTGCTGCATTTCATTTAAACTTATTTCCTCCAATTTCATTAGAGATAGGTTTCTCATTCAATTCAGTTCTCACTTTGTGGCAGGGCAAAAACCCAAAAACTCAAAATATCTTCATTAAAAATGCAAAGACATAGAAAATCTAAAAGACCAAATACAGTTAAAATAATTTTAAAAAATTTTACAATAAAATTACAGTTTCTACGCAAAAACAAGCAATAACGCCAGAAGGCAAGAAGGCAGATTATTCAGTGAACAAACTAAAAGTTTCCTTTTGGTCGCACTTGGCAAAAAGACACTCAAGCTGCAGAAAGACTTAATTCACTATTCTGCTAAGTTTCAAATGTACACAAAATATGGCTGCTTTAAAAAAAAAAAAAAAAAAAAAAAATAGTCACAGCCACACTTAAACAATTTTTAAATTGTTGATAATTCTAGAATTATTGCATGCAGATATTTTTGGAGTGGCCAAGGCAAAAAATCCTTAACCGGAAGATAAGAACAACATATAATTCAATCATTTCAAGAGCAAAAAATGGACAATTTACCAACATATAAGAATGAAAAAAAAGTGAGTTCTTTGAGCTGTGTAACAAAATGGGCGCACGCACACACACATACATATATATATATGATAATTTAATATGTAGAAGGAATCGGTTTACAGTCATTATGGCCTTGGTTGAAAGCATAGAGATGAAGATGATGAAACTGAGTTTTCACAAACCACCAATCTTTATTTTCGCACATATACAAAAATCATCCTTTTTGCAGACAAGTTATTTTTAAATCATATTTGAATACAATAACTTCTTATATACACAGGTTAATGAGGATATGACATCAGTTTAGAATAAGAAGGAACACAGCCAGAGAAGCACGTATTTGACAGCATGGCAGGAGCTAGGAAAAGACTTCATTAACTCACCAGCAGTACTTATACCAAAGAAGATGCAATTGTAAAAATGAGCTACGATTGTTTAATTTTAGTTTGGGTTATCCTTTTCAAGTAGCATTATATAACATGCAAAGATCTCAAATTTGGGAGAACACATTAATTTAGGGGAAGAGCACCAAATCTAGAATGTTAATTTTGAGATCGCCAATTCTTAAAGCACCTATCGTATTTTGTTATATCTTACATATATATTTATATATTTTTGGAGTGGCCAATTGCAACCAAAAAGCGAGGTGCACTACTACATGTTGTAGCAGTACTACAAACAAAATTTCAACACTCTGAGGCTACTCATTTTTGAGTTATGCGAGATATATAAATATGTATGTACATACGCCATGAAAAAATCTCTTCTGAATCCATTTTAAATCAGTTTTATAATTCGTTTTTGGAAAAAAAGAGTCCTTTGTTCTGTCTTTATGTACATATGTCATGCAAAAACATCGTTAAATTGCATTTGATAGCAGTCAAAATGGATATTTTTGTTGAAGTATGATACCCAGAATTTCTCGTGATTACAGTACTTCCTTTACTTTGTACCAAAAAGTGTTGCATGCGTACGGGTTCATAATGAACTAAATGCACAAGTCTGATGAAAAGTGAATAAAACTTATTCTTATCCCAAGAATAAATACAAAATGCTTAAATTTCGACAGATATAATCGTACAATATTGCAATATCTCACAATAGTTATATTTTAAACTACTAAAACGATGAATAAAACAGAGAAACAGAGAAAGCTAATCCGATTTCACCGCAAACTTGCTACAGTCAACAACAAGAACTAAGTAGACAACTAAGTAAAAACTTCCTTTACCTTCGTACAAGGAAGTAAAACTGGAAATGAAAACAGCAGGAGCCCTTACAAAATCAGTTATGAACTCTATGCAAAAACAAAAATCTAAGCAATAATAATGCCAACTACTGAGAAAACATGAGTCAGTGTCTAAATATTCTAGAAAATACAATAGATGATTAACCCTTTCCTGCACACTACCTTTTAAAGTTGGAATTTCGATTTAAAAAAAAAAGGTAGGCAGTTTTAATTTAGGCCTAGAGGAGTACACATGTAAAATTTTGTGAAGATAGAACTTATCGTTTTGATTCTGTGGGTGCACCCGAAGCGAGCACATTGATTGAATAGAGCTTCGAAAAGAGTGCTGAAACGAGCATTGCTGGGAAGTGCGTAAAAGAATAAGAGATTTTGCCTACAATTTAAAAACACTAGATTCTGAATACCTTAGCAGATTTAGTATCTAGGATGTGCCACGGGGAGACCTGCAACTCTGCACCCCCTAAAAGGCTCTTTTTTGGGTATATGATGATTACATGTGTATGAATGGGAAAGGAAAAAAAAACGCAACTTGGATATATGATATTTACATTTCATACTTTAGTCTATTTTCTCCTGGTGGTACTTTTCAAAGAAAGTGACACCACCTTTGAAAAAGCAAAACCCAATATTGTATGTTTTGCACATGTACCGGGATCTGTATCAGATTCACTATCTGAAGTAATTTGTGTAGCACTTTCAGTGCTTCAGAAATGGTCAGCCCTCTCCGATCCGTTTGAAAAATAGTTAAAAATCTGAAAAAATAAACTAATATTATATCTACAATAAGAAATTATAAACTGTAAAATAAAATTAAATAAACGTCTACAACTCAAAACTACTAAACGTAGTGCTAGCGAAACTTTGAACGAAAACGAAAGAGAAAAAGAGAACTGCTCTAGTGAGAAACCAAACAGCTAACTCATAAAATTGCCCTTGACCTTCAGAAAATCACCCTAACAATTTTTTGGTTAATAACCAAACATCCCCTCTACCCTCCCCAAAAAAGAGAGAGAGAAAAGAAAAAAGAGAAAAACAGGAAATGAAACACAGATGTGGACCTACCATTCTGTTGTCGATGAACTGATCGATGAGATGCGGAGAAACAAAGAATACAGTCTCTCAGTTGTCATAGTGTTGTGGTGTGCCTGGTTTGGGCACACCTCGTGTTCATCGTTCGATTTTAGGCACGATTTTAAAGTAAAAATTTAAAACTAATATAGAATAAGGAGATTAGCATACAGCCAAAAAAATAACATAGAAATTTCTTTTCAAACAATTGCTTTTATATCCTAAGAAGAGTCTGGAAGATTTCTTTGAAAAATGAGGGTCTTAAAAAACTAAACATGGCTAAAATATATGGACTGGTTTGTGTTGAGCTGCCATCTACTATAAATAAAGAAGGTTCACAGTAATCTATAGTAAACTCTAAATTCTTTTTCATTCAATTTTTCTGTACGTACAGAAGGAAATTTTAAGGTATGCCCAAACCGGGCCCACCGTGCCGCAAAGGGTTAAACAGGGTAAATGTAGGATCTGCTTCTAAATGCAGGGCAAAATTGCACACGCATGAAAATCACAGAATGAGATATTTTGGTACTTTCATGTTGCCCGTGGAAATTCCAGGATAAGCAGTCAGAGGGTTAAGCATCACCTTTCTAATGCAAACACTTCCATGATAGACTAAAATCATAAGGAAACATGAGAAATCATCCTGTAGGTTTCACTATATCAATACAGACTGCATGTGTTAATGATGGCAAAATGAGAATTCTATCAAAGAGAACAAATGCCTTTTAAAAAGACTTTCTTAATAGGAAGTAACTACTATTTATATTGCACTTCAAGAGAAACATAAAAACTTCATGCTTATTTAGTTATTAAGAGCCAAGCCAAGGATGAACTTTTTTTTTTTTTTTTTAATTGAGGGGAAAAAATCTATTTTTTCATGCACTACAAAGTGATGTGATACAGGGTTACCAAACTATGAGGATTACCATGAAGCTTACAAAAACCTAAGTAATAAAAGATATCAATTAATTCAAACATCTTTGACTAAAACGAACACATACACAAAAAAGAGTAAAAGAAAAATAATATACAAAAAGAAAATAATTTACAGCATTCAAAATAAACATCGATAAAAGGCATTAAAAGCATGGCAGACTGAGGGTAAAGAAACAAAATCATGACATTTCGGTGCCCAATTAATTTTAGTCTACATTTTAGTTAATTTCTTGCATAATGAAGCAAAGGGCAGTCAAAAAGCACTTTGATGAACACCGAAATCACAATAACACAAACTTGAAGATGTCAGCTTAAACCATTCAAGATAAACATTAAACCTGCCATGCCCAAACAGAAATTGCATAACATTAAAATTGAGCAATAAATTCTTATTTTTTGGTCTTTCAAAGACAGTAGGAAATAACTTTCTTGTAATATTTCCCTTACCAGAAGTGATATAATCATAATTCCATTGTTGAGTCATTGTAACTTTGAATATTTTTCTAAATACGGTTTTGAAATATTTATGTCAACATTAATATCTTTTTTGGTTGCATTCTTAGGAAGTCAATCTCTCGTTTCCATAAATCTTGGTACGACCACGAACAAATGCAAGAAACACTGAATTCTCCAGCAGATCCCCAAAAGACTCATGTATGCTACCTATTATTCATTATATGATGAGATATTTTTAGGGACTCAAAAGACAGAATCCGTGCAGATTAAACAACTGGGAACTTTTGAGAGGTTGGGGGGCTTTATTCCCTCATTCTCTGATAGACTAAATGGTAGATATAAAATAATTATTGCAACATACAGTAGAATAGGTTTTCTAGAGAAATGTAAATTAAAAATACCTACAGCTCAGTTGTTTCAAATGTAATACTTACTTCAAAGCAGAAAGCTGCGATTCAATCCCATTCCTTTTATTCTGTTTTTCAGACAGTTGATTACGCAAATCATCAACATTAATATGACCTTCCAAATTGCTTAGTTCACCTTCCTGAATTGTATTTAAAATATTGCAAAAATTATTTTAAATAATATACAAATATTTTCTTACCTACAGAAAAGATAAAAACTAACAACAACGAAAAAAAAACATAAGGCTTCAATATTTAAAAAAACAAAAAAAAAATCTGGGAAAAAATCTGCAGAATAGGAAAATCTAACATGCATTCATTAAAATAAAATTTTTATTTTATATTTAACTGAAATACCAGCAATTTAAATTCATATAACAGTTTTAAATAGGACAAGTAAACTTCTCTGTTCATGTACAAGAAGTTCTCTGTTCATTTACAAGAAGTTATGAAAATTAAAGAGTTTTATAATGAAATAAACAAGTCTAAGATTTAGAAGTAAGTAAAAACATTTTTAAAAATTTGACATTCAATATTCTATGTACAGTCTATATATTTATTGCGCCAAAGCCCACTGTAGTCTAGTACCAGTATTTCTCAATTTTTGAGATAAATCATATGGTTTAGATGTAGTGTACTGAAGCCCTAAATGAAAGGGCTCTCGCACTTCTTTTCTGTAAACTAAACCCAACCGCAATGGGCGTTTTTTTAACATTTTGTGTTGTAGAGACATTAGGATATTTTTGGAAGCAGGCAAGATGAAAAATGAGCAAATGCCTTTGCCGGGAATCGAACCACGGACCTCTGAAATACCAACTCAGTGTGCTGACCACTACACCATGAAGGCACACTAGGAACAAATAATATGTATTTTTAAGAAGGAAAACTTCGCAGCAACAGAAGTGTCTCCCTTCGGACAAAAAGGGACAAACTGCGCATGCACAAAGCGTGAAAGTCTCGCCCAAAGCACCAAAGCTGGAAGCGATGTCGAAGTTTCGAACAGGTTTCGCGGGTCACGTTTAAAGAGCTAAGCTGCTTGACTCCATTTCCCCCTCCATATTGCCGAATATAAAATCAGACATCAAACTGTGATATGGATAATGCAAGTTCAATAGCCAGTAAAAGAGAAACTTCACCTAATTTTCTTATTCATCTTAACCCGTGTTCCTCAATTTCCTGTACACGTAGCGGAGGAGGAAAATGACGGCCAGGTCCGGTACATCATAAAGGGGGAAATTCTTGCCAACAGGTTCCATCACCTAATCAATTGCCAAATTTTCCTTCTTTTCGGAGTAAAAGACAAACTGGTTTACATTACATCTATGGTGCCTTTCCTTCTTTACATAGATGTTCTTTGGTAAGAAGGCTGGAGAAATACCTTACAGTGTGTCACCTTTAGTTATTAAATATCATGTTTGCACTTAAACCATAAAATTCAGTTCACAGCAATGTCACAAAATAATTTTTAAATAAGCAAATCTTTAGAATTTCCAATACACGGTCTCGCGTTCTGGAGATAAAAAGGTTGTTTATCCCCTGTAGAGTGTTGCCATTGCTCGCTTTTAAATTGTTCAAAAATTCATTAAAGTTTTACAAAATATAAAATCGATTATAAAACAAATTCCAAATTTCAAATTTGAGCTTTCAGATGCCCATACTTGCAGTAGGATGATGTTGTTCAAAATTGGATGGCTCTAGGTACCATTGTTTTGTCACAATGCGAGAAACACATACATTTATGTAGATTCTTCATTATTTAATTTCTTCAAATATAATACAGGGTGATAGTATTTGGTGACAACAATTTGAAAAGTGATACAGCCTTTTAAAGATTCCAATGCAAAATCGCAAAACGAAAACAATAGTTCTTCAGGGACAAAGCCCCTTAGAACTAAAAATTATGCTTTAAAAATCTATTCTAACTTTTGAATGCAAGCCTGTCTTTCCCTCAGACAGAGGTTCAGACATTTAAGGAAAGAAAAGCCCCTGCTCACATGTCAAAGTTTTATTCTCCAGGAAGTGTTATCCTCCTTCTCTATCTCAGTAAGAAAACTTTTCATTACTGAAAATACTGAAAGTGATACTCTGGTCATGCACATGCTGCACTAGTAAATTCCTACTGCAGACCTCCAGCAGACTTTCTGAATGATGTGAGCAAACGCAGGGGTCCATTATTGTCATTAATTTAGAGGAGCCATATTCATTCTCATGTTGCTATGGATCGTATTGAGGGAAAATTTCCCCTTGATGTCTAGAATTATATTGACAGGCCATTGAAGTCTTGCTCTTCTCTCTTTATTTCAAGGCTACATGTTTCCGTTAAAATTTCCTTCCATATCCTTATACTGTTTCTAGAAAGCTCACTATTCTCCTTAATGGTGCTCTAATTGCTTGATCTTTTTTCATTGGTGTGGTGCAAAAAAGAATAGTTTTTGTACCTATCATTCCTTGAATTAGCACATTATATGTATAACCAGGTCTTAAATTCAGACAGAGATCAGCTGAATTACATTTTATCTTCTGAGTGGAATTTAATTCCAGCCGAGCATTAAATAAGATGAGGTCTGATAATTTATTTTTTATTTAACTATTGATATTTAATTTAACCATTTATTAAATTGTTATTTATCTCTTTTTATTATATTTTAATCTTAGTTTAATTATTTAATTATTTAATTATTTTTAGCCCAAAGGGCATTAGCCCAGAAGGACTATTAACTTAGTTTTGGCATTTTGCGTCGGTTCACTTTTCAACTCGTTGCCACCAAATATTAGAGCCCTGTGTAATATTTAAAGAAATTAAATAATTAAGAATCTGCATAAATGTATGGATGTTTCTCGCATTGTGATAAAACCATCGAATTTTGAATAACGTAATCTTCTACTGAATATGGGCATCTGGAAGCCCAAATTTTGAAACTGAAATTTGTTTTATTATTGATTTCATATTTTGTAACACTTTAATGAATTTTTTATTAACAAACTCAATGATTTCAAAGTGAGCAGTGGCAATACTGTACAGAGAAAAAAACATTTTATCTCCAGCACGTGAGACTGTGTATTGGAAATTCTAAAGATATGATCATTTAAATTTTTGCGATATTGTTGTTGAATTGAATTTTATGGTTTAAAATGCAAAGAACATGATATTTATAATACAGGCAGTACACAAACATTAAAAAATGACCCTTTGGCCGCGTAATGTAAAAATTTGAAACGTTTTTCAGTTTTTATTATTATTTATTATTAAATTTTATTATTTTATTTATTTATTATTTTTTCATTCTTTCCTGACAGTCTTCCATAGGGCTCCGACACTTATAATTTTAGAAATTAAATGCAGGTTGCACCATTCCTAATTTAATAGTATTACTTACTCCATTTAGATATTGTACATTACACCTATAGCTGTTTATGAATTCTTAGAATAACTTTGATGTAAAAAGTCTGTTTCTGATTAACAAGCCAAATAATTTGAAAGCAAAAAAAAACACAATTCTTCATCTCTATTATTATAAAGTATTAGCTGGACTCTTAAAACTATAATAACTCATTAAAACTGATACATATTTTCTCCCTTTTTATAGGCTAGCTGCACAAATGGATATTATACTTAAATAGCATCTGCTTTAAAAACTGCACATCAGTTATCAAAAGCATGGATTTAACATATCTAAGAGGGAAATATGTCACTTTATTCAAAATAAATAGAAAAACAGAAAATTTAAATGGGAGAAAAATAATGATTGAAATATTCACTGAAACTATATATTTTTACAATATCAAATATGAAGTCTCTAGTCTAAAAAAAGAAATCTACCGAGTCTACTGTAAGCTGTTATTCTGGAATGCCTATTTATATAAATTTTATTCATAAAAATATCCATATATTTTTGTCAGAACATCCAATAGAGCATTTTTACAACAGATACTTACAAAAATTTTTACAACGATAATTTGTTATGCAGGAGAAACTGACTGTATAATTCTTATCACAAGAAAGTTCAATATGTTTTAAAATATACTCATTCAGTGATATTTTTCCCAACAGATTAAATATAGGTGTACAATATTATCATCTTACTTATAATAAAAAAATAACTACAGTTAAGTAAATCAAATTAAAAATAAGACATTCATAAAGAGCACACAAAATACATACTGCTTCTTTGAGATCGCCTTCTAAAATGTCCTGCTGAGATGATAAGGAATCTATACGACTTATTTCTTCTTTTATATTGCGAATAGCAGTTTTATTCTTTGCCTATGCAATAAAAAGTATTCAATAAAAAAGAAAGTCATGGACGTTAATCTGTATATACACAAATACTGGAAAAGTGAAAACATAAAATTAATCAGTTGTAAAGTTGCACATACTTGTATAATATTTCACAACAGTGAAGAATAATTATGTTTAAAATCACTCAGCTTAATTTGTTATATACAACAGATCTCCAAACATACAGACACCTTAAAATTCAGATATATGAGCTACCTTTAGAAACATATTTACTATAATATAAGTGAATTTTAGTTTTATGTTTACTGAATTTATCTCATTACAACTTACACAATTAAAAAGTTTTAGTATTTCCATTTCTTTTTTTTTTAAATGCATACAAAATTTTTAAACGAACATGGCAATCATTTTCTTTTTTCTATTTGCCTAATGGCAGCACATTTCTATTTAAACCAAAACAAAACAATAACATTAATTTTGTGTTAAGTAAAATTCTTTAACTAAACATAAAATTTTATTCTTACTTTTACTGTAATAAAAATAGGCCTTTTTTAAATTTACATCAAACAAAAAGAATAATACATTTCTACTAACTAAAATTAAATCAAAACTTTTCTTACTGAATAAAATAGCAATATTGTTGTAAATCCTGGTAGGTAACTGTAGTTATTTATTTGTAATTTTGTCTTTACACATTTTTAATTTGTTGTGTATTTGTTTCTGTTGCTTTCATTAATTTATTTCACGATTCCCACTAAAATTGAGCTTTTAATTTTTTTGAATATTTATCACTATAAAAAAATTTTCCTGACCAAAGGTAAAAACTAGTTACAATTTGTTACAAAACATACTAATACAATAAAGAAAAATAATAAAACTTATTTATTAAGCCATTCAAAAAGGAGACAAGGTTTTTTTTTTAAAGAAATATTAAATTTTGGAAGAGAAAGCTGTTTATCCTCAAAAAGACATGTATAACGGTGCATCATTTACTCTTCTTGTGTTTCAAAACAAAAATTCACAGCATAAATTACCAGAAAATTGATAAAACTGTTTAATTAGTATTATAATAATAATAAGTAAACAGTATAATGATTTCATAATTACAATATTTATTTTTGAAGAGCAGCTGCACTTTGGAAGAAAGGAACAGAACAGTTATATTTCTAAGATAAGAGTGAAGAACAGCTCACTAACAGGTGGAAAACAAAACTATGGTTTGATGAAGTGTATCAGGTACTGTAAGTCTTGCCCAATACAGAGTTTATATCATTAGTATATTGTGTAAGCGACAAAATCATATTCTGAAAAGTCAACTAACTTTCCATGGAAAAAATGTGTTACGCAATTTGAACAAACCTAAATATTGTTATAAACAAAAAGGGAAAATGAAACAAATGTTAATCAAAAGTTTCCCTTCCAACGGCGGGCCCTTAGCCAACTTTGGATTGGCCACTACTAAGGCCAGAAGTGGCGGTCACCAGTTCTGGACTTTTAATAAATGCATATACGAGGGTCACTCTGAAATTTTGAGATACACATAGGTTTTTAAAGTTATAAAATTCTAGTAGTGTGCATAGTACTCTCTTTCAGAATCAATGCACTTCTGCAGGCAAATTTTCCAAAGATTAAATGCGTTAAGTCATTCATTTTTTGGAATTGATGAAAAAATTACATTTATAGACTCATCAATCTCATCTTTGGAATAAAAACGACATCCACATAAGTTCTTTTTCAAATTAAAAAATAGCCAAAGGTCACGCGTTTTTGTTCAAGAAACTCTACAGTCAATCTTGCTGAATAAGAGGATGCATTGTCATGGTCTACCATTCACTTCTTGATAAATTTATGGAAGGCACTTAGTGGTGTACCAGTTAGCTGTGACTGTCTTCTGTCCTTCTAGCTTGATGGTTTTGACCAGTCTTGTACTTCTGAGAAAATGGCATATATTGCTTTTTCACGGCACAATGTCTTTTCACCATTGTGGGCATGGAATCACCTTCAAAGACCCATACTTTACTTTCTTCAGGTGCTGGAATATCAAAAATTGGTATATACATTTCATCACCAGTTATGATTTTTGAAATAATGTGGTGGCCACCATTTTTAAGTAATTTAAGGGTTTCTTTACCGAGTCTGACACTCTCCTCTTTTTGGTGCTCAATTAAATTATGGGGACCCCCAACAATAAACTAGTTTCTTCATATGCAGTTCTTCATAAATAATTTTATATACAGTGGTGAATCCAGTGTTAAGCTCCTTCATTTGGTAGGTGCAGCGATTATCATCGATTAACAATTTTCATATGGCAGACATATTATCCAGGATTACTGCTGACAACAGCCTTCCTGTGTGCTCTTCGTAGTGAAGAGAATTTGACCTCTGTGAAATTCTGTAAACCATCTGAGTACAATAGAGCATGAGATGGATCTTCATTTCCAAATGCAATTGCAGATGTTGAACACATTCTTCTTGATTTAATCCCATTTTAAAATCATAGAAAATCATTGTGTGATATACTGGTTAACTCCATTTTTCCTTCAGCCTAAAATTTATTCTATGCTAAACCAATATCTGCAATTATTCACCAATAAAAAATCATCTGCTAAGCTAAAATAGTTCATATTTACAAATGTAACAATTTTTTCTGTCACTTATCGTCTGCACGTATCTCAAAAATTCACCTCCATATTTTTCAAGCTTGTTTTAGATGTAATTACCATATATTCTGGTGTGTAATGAGCACTTTTAACACAAAACATAAGATCGAAATTTATGGGTGTGCATTATACGCCAGATACAAAAATGATAGATTTAAAAAAGATGAGGAAAAAATTAGCATATAAAAATTTATTTTAACATGTACCTAAATGCAATTTGCTTAAAAGAAATTATATTCTTTATAAACTTAAAAAATTTTCTTAACTGATAACATGAAAAGTTCGTAATATTCGTCTTCCATTATATCTTCAGGCACATCATCGAATTCTGCTTCATCTTCATTATCGCTGTTATTCTGATCCATAAATACATAATCATCTTGCCTTCCATCTAGATCGTTAAATATACTACAATTTTTTAATTGCAACCTCTTTGCAGAATTATTTACTCTCTCAAGCATTTCTCCCACACACATATTGTTTCCCTTCTTGGTTTCTCAAATCAGTATACCATTGTTTGGATACCTGGGAAAAATCTTTGAATGTATGATTTCAAAATATAAGAGCATCGCACATGTACCTTTCAGGTTTCTTCATAAACAAAAGGGTGTGTCAAATATAACTAAAAAAATGTAGTTTGAAATTATAGGTGTGCATTATACACTGGAATATACGGTATGCCATTACCACGTTAGGTTTCTCATAAGTCAATGCTCAGAATTCACAAGAAACGAGAGATTAATACATTTCTTAAAACAAATTCACAAAAATAGTACAGCACTTTGGATCATAAAATTTCTGTAACTTTCTCTGACAATATTGAATCTGTACATTTTTTAGAACTAAAAAACACTTTAAAAAAACTTACCATCTGTTCATTACTAGTAATAAGTTTTTGCTGCTTTTGAGCTTTTTCAATATGTTTCTTTTCAATATTATTTTGAATCTCACTCTCAATACTTTCATGCTTTGTCTAAAAATTAAAAATACAAGTATTCAGTATTTTAAGAGGAATCTGTATCAGATTACTATAAGCTATTGCACACAGCATTTACATAAATAAGCATAATTTGAAATTTATACAAACTTTGCAGTTTGAAAACTCTTTCTGAGATGCTTCATTTCTTTGTTTCAGCTGCTGTAATATACTGGTTACTTGCGATTCAACCAATGGTTCATCTTCATCATCAAATCCAAAATCTCCTAAGCCTAGATTTTGCCGTAATGATTTCAACTTAGAATCTCGACGTGCAATAAGTTTTTTGTAATGCTGAAATGACAGATTTGAAAATTAAAAAAATTACAAATTATAACAAATAAATTAATTTACCTATGCAGTATTACAACTGTAGTATGCACAAGAAATGTTGATTTATTTCACACAGTTATATAAATCAAACATAAGACATAGAGGTGAATTAAAAAGCAACTACCCCCTCCCCCCTTTTTTTAAATTCAAGGAAAATACAGATTCATAATCACAAAAAATTGAAAGTTTTAAAAATATGTACAAAACTTAATATGGAATATAAATTAACAGTATATGGTTAAAAAAAAAAAAGTAACACAAAAAGAGGCCACACATTAAAAAAATAAATTCATATTTGTTGCATATTTTCAAAACCAAAATGCCTCACAACCGGACAAAAACAATTACTTTGGTATAAAATTCTTCCAATTTTTTTTAAAATTAGACTCAGGGAATCAGGATGCTAAAATGGCTCAATTACAATGGCATGAAAGCTTTCGAACAAGCCTCATCAGAGAAAAATGAAAGTGCTTATTGTACCATTTCTTGTTAGTGTACCATTACATGTTTATTGAACCATTCCTGCTATGTAGTAATAAATTTAAACATACTGTAGAGACATTAGGTATTTTCGGAGGCAGGCAAGATGAAAAATTAGCAACGCCTGTGCTGGAAATCGAACCCCAGACTTCTGAAATATGCGCTCAGCGTGCAGACCACCACACCACGAAGGCATGCCAAGAAGATGGAAGAAATAACCTTATAATACACTTCATTCCTTGTGTTTACAGAGCAGATTTTTAGCTGTTATGTTAATGATGATAGTTAATTAAAAAAAGCTTTTTCATTTCAGTGTTATATTCAATCAATTACATGGCATATTCCAATGTTAAAGAGGATTTTTGCCTAGTTGTTAATTACTGAATAAGACTTATTCAGTAATTAACAACTAATATATTCAAAGTTTTCAAAGAATACATACGTGCTTAGCTAAGATAGATTATTGTTATATATAGGAGTATTAGATTCTTTTGAAAAATATGAGGTACACCTTGCACACACACACACACAAAAACAAAAAACAAAAAAAAAAAAAAAAAAAAAAAAAAAGAGGTGTAAAAGTTCTATATATCCCATTTTACTGGACCAATTATCAAACCTTAACTTGCATTTTCCATGTCTCGAGAGCACGACTTGGGATATATATTAGATTTAAATATAGCATTATTCTAACATAGGTATTCCAACACAAAATATGACTTTTTCTGAAATAATATACCAACTTTTTTCTATATTTTGATTCTATGACACAAATTATGCTAAAATGCCAAGTTTTGTAAAAACCACAAGAATAGTTTTTAAAAATTTAGCTCTCAAAAGTTTAGCTAATTGAATTTGGTATATATTTATTGATACCTTTTTTTTATTAAACATATTTGATTCTTCCTTTCACATTTCAAAATTCAGGTTCATTCTAAATAAAATTCACTCATTTTTGTGATTTATTTTTTTAATTTGTATTTTTTAAATAATTTTTTATAATTTTTTTCAAAATTCATAATATATAAAATTTTTACCATCATCTTAAAGGAGATGTATTTCTATGCCTACCTACAAAAAATTAGAGTTTTTATTCAAAGTTTTCAAAGATATATAGGAATTTACATTTTGGCACATTCTGAAATTTGGTGTATTTATTATAAGTGATAATAATGAAAATGTGGTTTATGCACTTTGTTAAAATTATTTGAAAGAATGAACAATGGACCTTTTTTTCCCTCATGCATCAATGAAAAAAAAAAGCAAAGTAAGTAAGTTAATATAAATTAAGAATTTCGCCAAATGAATTATTCGTAGTGCAAACTGAAACAAAAAAGTTGCTATAAACTTTTAAATTGCTCACCAAAAATTACAAAATTTAATATCTAGGCATAATCTGAGTCATAGAATCGAAATATAGAAAAAAAACTGGCATGTTTTTTCAGAAAGAGTCTGATTTTGTGTCAAAATAACTAATAACTGTTAGAATAACTGTTAGAATAATGCTAAAATAACTGTTAGAATAATGCTATATATAAATCTTATATATAGCCCAAGTCGCACTTTCAAGACATGGAAAACGCAAGTTAAATTTTGACAATCAGTCCAGTAGAACAAAAGATATAGAACTGCCCCCCTTTTTTTTGCACAAGGTGTACAGTTCAAAAGCATTCAAGCATATATTTCTAATTCAGCCTTTGCAACTCAGCCTTTTAGATTTCAAAGCAACATATAAAGCAGTTTGATATTCTGGTAGTTTAAAATACCAGTTCAGCAAACATGAAAATCATAATGACAAAGATTATAATGAATTTCTTTGATTAAAAGAAAATACAACATTTACCAGATTAAAAAATCAGATACCATAGAAAAAGTATCCGTGAAAATTAAGCACTATAAAGAGATTAAAATTTTAAAGGAATTTAAAAAACTGGCAATAATATTTAGACAGACACCAAATTGTTAATGAGATACTAGCTAAGGCACAACAGTTCAACTAAACATAATTGTACCTTCTGATACTAATTACAGTGGTGGTAGTAAAATTATGTGTTAACAGCAAAGTAAGAAATACTGTCATTCTACAGAATACCTAGGTATTTTATAGAACATCTGGCATTTTTAGGCAAAGTATAAAATATGAGAATTATTATATACTTTACCTAGGAACTGCATATAATACTTAGACATTCTGTAGCTCTTTACGCAAATGTACTGTTACAAATGCTCTTTATGCAAAATATGAAAAAAAGGTTATGATAAGGCTATTATTTCAAAGAAGGTCATTCCTCAAAAACACATGTTATTTTGAAAAACCAATGAGACTGCCATTAAAAAAACTTTCATTCAGTATAAATAAAAAATATTTTAAGTTGTACAAAACAATATTTATTCTCTTCTCGTTACAGTTTTTCATGAATTACGTGAATTAACTCCGCCCGCAATGTAATACCGTATAGTACTCATGCCTTATTTAACAGGATAAATGAGTTCACATTTGGCTTAGACAGTTCATTTTTGAATCATTTCGCTGCACGTCTGCTGACTGTGACTCTTTCACCAACACTATATCTTGCTCTTCCATTTTCATGCAGAACAACATAAAACTAAATTTTATTGAATAATTTTCAGTAAAATTGCATATTTTCACAGTCCCCAACAAAGTGCAAATAGCAAATTCTGAACCTGAGTAGAGGACATGTATTTTGACACTCCCAAACAAACCCCAAAATGCAAATGGCAAATTCTGAATCTAAGTGAAGGAATAAAAGTCACGTGACTTTCTACATGATATTTGAAAAGAATCAGATATATATTTCACACTTTGCCAGTTTGGCACTCTATAGAACAGTGATTCTCAACTGGTGGTATGCAAAGAAACACAGTATTTTTAACTATTAAATTCAAAAATCTCATGAAGAAAAATTGATAGAAATTCTCTGTGATCAAACTCTAACTGAAGATTTCAAAAATAACACAGTTTTTAACTTTTGGCTGAAAAAAAAAAAAGAATTTAAAGGCATTTCAAATAAAGCTGTTAAATTTTTATTGCCTTTTTGCACAATCCATTTGTGTGAACAAGTATTTTCTTTCATGTTTTATTTAAAAAAGAAATACAGAACAAAATTAAAATTGGAACCTAATTTATGATCAATGTCAAGTGAAAAAAAGAAATTGATTTCTCTTAAACAGGCCCAAATTTCACAAATTTTCATAATTAAAATGGAACCAGTTTTTAATTTAATATTTTTTATGTGTGCACATTTAACGTATCCAATAGGTTGCGCAAATGGCAAAATGTAAATACTTTTTTTTAATATTTCTATTGAGAAATTGAAAAATAATCATTGTAAAATATAGTGGTAGTACAACTAAAGTTTTTCAATTTTTGTTTAGATGGTATGCGTTAGTCAAAAGGTTGAGAACCGCTGCCATAGAATGCCTAGGCAATGTATAAAATGTTTAATCATTTTACACACAGCCAACCAACATTTAGCATTCTATAAAATGCCTAAGTATTCTATGGAATGTCAGATTTTATACTTTGTCAATAACATATATAAAAATATAATAAATGTTACTATGACTCAAAGAGGAAAAAATATATATATAGGTCAGAAAAATAAAATATAAATAATAAAAAATGTCAGCAATATGCTCCACTCCAAGGAAGGCATTTTCTATTGAAATTGAATATGCATCATTACATCGCACCTTTATATTCATCCTCGACATCCAGGCTACAGATCAAGACTTCATAAAACCATTACCTATTGTTCAATTTTCTTATGATCAAGAAACTAATAAAATTGGAGAAAAAATTCTAATGAAATTACTGTAGTCATTTCATATATAGCATGTTATCCTCTTTATTTGGTATTTTCTGAAGAAAAGTTAAACAGAGCAGTATTTTTCTGATGATGCTTAGGTAAAAATTAATAAAATAAAACTATGATTACAACCTGCCAATACAGGTGCATTGAAAATAGAAACTGTCAAAAGAGTTAAAACCATTTACTTAAACACTTTTTACTATAACTCTTAAACATTTAATTACTTTCAATCTTTATAAAATTAAAGAATTAAATAGAATAACTTGTTAAAAATCCTTAAAAGATAAGAATTAGGTTCTAGTAAATTCTCTTCAAAAAGGTAAATTATGATACTCTGTATACCTCTCCAATCTTACATACTCAGAAAACTACATATAGATATAATATAGGATTGTCAGTAAACAGGTTACAAATGGCTACAGCAATAAAACTGCATAAAGTACTTCAGTAATAGTGCTTATTTTTTCATATAATCCATACCTGCAACACTACATAATTATGACTGTTACATTCACTCCTTGCCTCTGGATACAGATTAGCTGCACAAGAAAAATATCAGAGCCCACTTCTCCTCTAATGTACATTATTTCAGCATGTTCTCAATTCTCACACTGCCGTAAATGCTTCAACGATTAATGGCATTGCTCACAGACTCAGTATTAGGTATTACTTTTTTTTTAATTACTCATGGTTATTTCTTGACATCGGACAGCAATTCAAAACCTATTTATTGACTTTTATTCAGAAAATTTGATTTGTTTATCACAGGAATTTTACATAATAAAAGACTGCTATATATGCAGAAATGCTAATGCATGCATTAAAGTAATAAAAAAATGAACACTTTAAAATGCTTAATTACAAAAGAAATAAACTTATTATATAATATTGAGAAAAGCTTTATCATCTTACATCATGATCAGCTTTCAGTTTGCCAAGTTCTTCTAGTAGCTGAGATTTTATCTTCATGTCAGTCTGAAGCCTCTTTTCAATAATAGAAGTTTCTCGTTTGATCTATATAATTACAATCATTCTTTTTATCAAAGATAGAGTAAGCGCTCAGTTTTGCACAGTAATGAATTACAATCTATAATACCTTGTCAAGATCACTTTTCTTTTGTTCCATAACAGAATTAAAATTCTGCATTTCATATACAAGGTCTTCTTTATTACCAGTGAACAAATCTTTAATAGTCTTCCTCAGATCATGTTCATCTTTCTCATACTTTTTAATTAGATCTAAATTTTTTTCTAAAGGAACAAAATAAATAACAATAAATATCAAAATATGACAAAAAACTTGAAAACTTTAAATATTTAAAAAAAGTAAAGCATACAGTTATTCTGCACAAATAATTATTTAATTATTGTGTCAATTATGTCTAAATGAATAAAATTTTAAACTTAGGTATGTAAAAAAAGCAATTATATTTAAGTAATCGCAAAAAATGTCTGAAATTCAATTCATTTACAGCAACAGGTTAAATAACATACTTCACAATAACTTTGCGTATTCTCCATATCTCTCCCCACCAAAAAACAAATGATCAGCTGACAATTTTTGAAAAGAAATATGTTAAAAAAAATATGTTATCACAGAAACTAAGGATTATGATGTGTTACCAGAGCAGTAAAATCTCTTATAACCTGCATTCAATTAAATGGCAATATAAAAATAATGGCACTTTGGAAAATCTAAATTTAAATTCAAAGTTTGGGCCTTTAAAAAATATATAATGGACTAACTAACAGACTGGCAACACTTTCATATGTACAGCCATGTTACACGCTTCTATAACTCATGTCTCCCTCTCCCACAAGCCTCACATTATGTGCAATTCTGAAGGCAGCGTCTATAATTTTCAGAAATAATTCGCAATAACAGATGCCAATTTTACTTAGTCTCTTGCCTGGAACTGGAAAGATGCAAAGAACATTATTTTACATCTCATTTGGCATAAATTGTAGCCTGTGATTACATTTATATATAAAGAATTGAAGCTGTTAGTATAAAAAATATTCTATGCATTTCAAGAGCATTTATCTACGACCCAGTTTGCTTAGTTTAAAATACTAATAAAAATCTTCTGATTTTAAATAACATACTTGCCATTCTATCACATTCAAAAATCAGGAAGTTTTTTTTTTGTAAAAAATCAGAAGAATTTTGTTAATAAATAACAAAAAGATCTTTATATTCTACATATTTTTAAATAAAAAAAATCTCTAGAAAGAAAATATGTTTTTTAATAATGAAATGACTTTAAATAGTAAATAATTAATATTTGGAAGTTCAGTTATTATTTCTTAAATGCAAATAATACAAAAATACTTATATGTAAAAAAAAAAAAAAATTATTACTTGTACCTCCTAATACGATAAAAATACTCTAATCTGTTTCCCTAATCCTTAAATCATATTTTAACCAGATCACTAATCATCGATTGCAAAACATGATAATGTAAATACACTGCAGAACTGTGTTAAGAACATCGAATGATGGCAAAATGGATTGTGCAAAAAAAGCAAAAACATAAATATTCATTCTTCATAAGATAAACTTAATAAATGGAAAATGAGTCCCTTGTTAAGCTAATTTTTATTTTTGAAGAACTTTGCTTTGGGAGAGCTTTACGCTTATACTTTGTAGTATTATTTTGAGAACTGACTGTTAAATTCCCCACAGGTGCAGAAATTACTTCATTTTTCTCACACCTATTTTTAAAAGCGGAAGTAATAACTACATCTCCATTTACTTAAGGTTTATTTTATAACTTCCAGAGCCTTTTATCTTATCTCTAAAAGCATTTACTTCTTCCTAAAAAAGTGTAAGAAGTGGGTCCACTGGTCGAGGACTCTAGACAAACATTTCTCTAAAGATAACCAGTGTGTACATACATATTTCAGATTTTTTTTCTTATTTCAGTATTATGCAACTGTTGGAATTGTTTAAATTTTTCCTTCCTTTTAGCAATCTTTCCAAGTTTAATAATGAGCATCAGCAATGCATTCGACTGACAATATACTTTGAATTCTCAACATGGCAATTATACTATTTTAGCAATGTAACTTTGTAACTGAACACAAAATTATGTCTATCTATAAAATTAAATAGAAAGTATTAGCACAAATGAAACAACTTACATTAAAAGAAATGTTTAATACAACACACAAATAAATAATGAACTTTTATTGTAAATTTTAATTCCCTTGAGATAGTTTTTTTCCCCCCTTCAAATGGCGGGCTCTTGCCTATAACACCGTTGGCCACTATTAAGGTCAGAAGTGGTAGCCATTTTATTATGGAGGCACTTAATAGGCAGCCACCGTTACCTGCTATGAAGGGACAGACAAATTTATATCCAAGCCTTCTCCGGGATTCGAACCCAGGCCCTTTGGTATCACAGTCAGGCTCCCCTAGCCACTATACGGTCTGAGCGGCTCTCTTTAAATAGTAAAAAAAAAAAAAAAAAAAATTTAATTTCTACATGATTAAATTTAAACCAATGATTTAAAATCTAGAAATTTGACATCCAGAATTACAACAGTCCCAATGATTCCAGTTCTCGAACTTTGCACTGTATCAGTTAATAAGTAATACAGGGTTGCCACTCAAACAGGAGAATGAAATTCCCTGACTTTTCCAGGTGTGTTTCAAGAAAATTCCAGTCTATCCGCGTAATGTACGTTGGCTGTGCTAAGAGGTAAATTAATTATGGTATTACTTGTATTGTGTAGCAAATTCACTTAATTATTTAATAAATCCCAGAGGACATTTATTCTTAATTATTCTTGGTATACTTTGTTTGATAATTTTGTTTAGTTTTCCACTTAAGAAACTTAATAAAATTTAAGATATATATATTGGATAACAAATGTCTGTTTTATTTAATTATTACATGATCATCACCAGTTCAACACGAGGCTAAATCCGGTCCTTATAAATCACAACACAATGCTAAATAGTTAGGTTAGATTTTAGGTAAATTTAATTTGTGTGAGGTATGTTCTTAAAAGGCACCTTAACACTTGAAAACACAAATATAATTATAATAGTTGTTGTTTTCTCCACTGAAGATTTATAGAACCATTCACTAAATTTCATGGGTGGAGTGGCAGGCACAATGATGGCAGATAGCTTGACTCTGTGGCATAGTTGATAAATGGAGCTCTTTTGAAGAATTATAAAATGACTCGATAATCCAAACTTCTCTTTATTATTTGTTGGTTCTCATCAACATATCTTACTGCATAACATATCTCATCACACGAAACAGCACAATGGGGTAAAACCTGCACCCCACAATTTTGAACTACGCAGTTCCACTTTTGAACAATAGAAAACACTGTGAAGCAGCAAACACAGTTATGCAATCAACAGTAGGTGAGAAAAGTGATATGTAGAAAGTAGTTGGAATAGTTATACTCAGAAATATTTTGTTCGAGTTCTAAATGATGATTGGATAGAAGCTCACAGCAATGTGGATCTTTGCTTGGAAAGGTTTGGTTTATATGATACGGCAAAGCCTCAAGGGCTATCTGCTTAAGGGAAGGAATGCCTTTAAGGGGACTTTTTAAGGGGAAATGGCTCGTATGCACGTTACACATGGGGAATACCACAAAAACGCCCATGCAGCTAGCCTGTTTGCGGGATTTGAACCTTGGACCAAACTACCAGTGTTCAGCCACTTTACTGCTTGGCCTCTGGTGGGCCCCTGCTAGGAAAGAGTGACATAAAATGGTGCAATATGCCTTTTTGAAAAGAAGATATTCTTGAATTGAAAGTTAGTAATTTAAAAGTCTACTGCCAAATTTTGTTACATATTTTATATTTTACACATATATACAGCACAAAATCAATTTTATTTTAAATCAGAATAATTAGTTTTAATCAGATTGGTTAAGTAATAAGGATTATTAATAAAGAAATTAATGTTACTCATTTATAAGTAATGCAGAAACTAATAAATTGTCAGGACATTAAATTAAAAACGGTCCACTCAGACATATCATCAAATAAAAATAAGCTGTTTCTTACTTTTACATAATAACACTTATTTATCTCCATGGAATGTTTCTACTGAAATTGATTGTGACAGCACTAGAAAATGGTCTATATAGTCCTAAATTAGCACCAAATGCTTTCTAAACATTTCCATTATTGAAAAGATTACCGTGCAGTAACAGATTCTCTTCTTAGATGGAGAAGTGTAAAATGCCATGGCCACAGTACAAAACAATGTAGTTCTGGTTCGCAAATCAGCCCCAAAATGTTACCAAAAAAAATTAATTTGACGTGACGGATACCACTTTTAGAATACAGAATCTGTAGAATAATTTCATTATAAATAAAAAATTTTGACTTGACACTTTTCAACCATCCTGTCTACAGCTAGTTATATAGTGTATAATATAACTAAAAAATATTTAGAACTTCATTACCAAGTGAAGCTTGAAGTGCTCCAATTTCATTCTGTTTTATTTGTAATTCCCTCAATTTTTCCTTTAAAAAGAAGATGGGACATTATAAATATAAAATTCTAACATATTATAACAAAAGTATAATTTATATTTATTACAATATCTGTGAAACAATTAGTGCATTTAAGGCAATCTATGACATATGAATTTAATATTTACATTTATAGGTTTTAATCTTGCATTCACATCTTGAACAGTATCCTTACAAGCAGCAAGACGAGTTTCAGTTTTCTCCAACTCTTTTTGAAACTATTAAAATACATAAAAAATAAAAATTGCGATGATATAATTTTATTAAAACAAAGTAGCAATTATTTTTGCAATCCAACGTACAACTAAAGTATGATGAAGTTTTATTAAAACAAAGTAGGATTTTTGCAATCCAACATATAACTTTTGATGCATTTAAAAGTTATAAAAACTAATATTCTCATATACCTTAATTTCACCTATAAAAACTGGATTCTTGATCTGTTGGTTGGATTAAGAAAATAGTGTTCAGTGGAAGAAATAAAATCTCTGCTTTCAGGTGTAATTTTGTGCAGAAATTCACATGTAATTGAATAATATATAGTTGAAATTCTCGGGCTGAACAAATTAAATGGAGACAATTAAGATAAGGCATATACATAAAATCCCATTTTGTAAGAGATTACTGCATTTGTCAGCACCACAAACTTTTCATGAATGATTCCAAGCAACTTATCCAGCTGTTTCACCGTGTACTTCTGGGTACCTATCACAAAAGAACACCAAACACAAATCAAAATCACATGAAAGATGTGTGATTTTCATTTGTGTTTTTTGTTCTTATCTTAAAAGATCTTAAGATATCTTAAAACACTGCACCAGTATACCCCTTTAAACTGTCTACTTTGTATGTGCTGATTTATGAAATATTTCTAAACAAGATGAGATTTGTTTTAAAACAGATAATGAACAGATCATAAATTGCAAGAACAAAGCAATTCCTTTTATTAACAAAATTTCTCAATTATTTTATTTTACATTCATTATTTACATAAAAGTTTTCATTTTACACCTGTATTTTCTTTCCATGTCTGCTTTTTCTTGCTGCCACCTTGACCAACTAGGTATAATTACATGCAGTCTTTTTCTTAGATACAGTATTTACAGACTTAAAGAAAATATGTACACTCAGTACCAGAATGAATAATATTAGTAACAGCATGGCCATTAAGGATGTTTCTCTAGCCATTCTGAGTCACTGTAGCCATTTTATTGCAGACACTTTTTACAATCTCTGACTTCAATTCACCATGTGCTTCATTTGGAATTAAGCATTAGATATTTACTAAATGCATATGTTAAACAATCAATTGCTTCTTCTTAAGAAATGCACAATATTTACGCAAACTGATGATATGTGTATAGTAGTGATTCCCAGCCTGTGGTCTACCAACTATTATTGGTACATTTTAAAAAAATTCGTCTGCAAAAACTCTCTTACAAAAAAAAAAAAAAAAAAAAAAAAAATCATTTTTAGAATTTCAGATTAAACTTTCCTTTAAACAGCAATTTTTTTTTTTTTTTTTGTTGTTGTTGTTGTTGTTTCCTAAAAATGATAACATATGGTGGTACCAATACATGACTTCTAAATAACTTCATCACTTTAACACTCTGTTGATTAATTTAGCCAAGGTCAAGTATACGAAAGTTGCTATTTATATTTCTGGCCTTAGCAAAAAAGTAAGTGTCACTAGGTGACTGCAGATGATTCCAGTTGGAAATTTTATATTTTTAACTATAACTTCTTCAGGAAGTTTTGCCATTTTAGGATGATTTGTATTGTTTACAGTGAACTGAAAAATTCATCTTGGGCAAAAAATGGAACATTTTCTTGCGATTACTTCTCGTAACTTTTGATGCGAATTATCAAGACAAGACTGCTTCGGTGAACTTAATTCTTATACAGTGATATACACTTGTATAAGAACATATATAGCGATGTATTATCATTGTATTATATTCTTATACAGCAATAAAGCACCATTCTACAGTATTGTAAAAAATTGGTATAACGAATTCAATCATGCAAATACTTAAATTTAGTGCTAAGAGCTGTTCCATTTACAGAAAAGTATCATATTTTTAATTAACATAATATTTTAATTTTTGCCAGTTTCAATTTCTGCCACAGCTTAAGCAAAAATTATTTTTTAACAGCAGAAAGTCAATCTTACATTTAGCAGAAAATAAATTTACCTGAAATTATCAAAATGTTGCACAAGTTAATTAACATGAGTAAAAACATTCAATGGAATTAATTTTATTTTAGAAACAGACATTTTGGATTCTTTTCTAATATATTATTAATGCCAATATAATAAAAATAAAACAATACCTCTTCAGCTTTACGTTTGTTAGTCTTCAAAGATTCAACCTCTGTTTCAAATATTTTGATATCGGACATCTTTAATAAATCATAAGCATTAGTTTAAATTATAAGACATTTTAAAAATTACAAAATTTGTAATAAAAAAAACTTTAAAATGAATTACTTTTTTTTGTCTGATACTTCTAATTTCTTCTAAAGCTTTAATGTATCGAGTAGCAGCAAAGATTTCATCAAACTTCTGTTTTAGAGCTCGACCTTCACTCAAAGGCCTAAATAAAAGCCATTTTTTTTAATATGAATACTAACACAAATTAAATGTGTCAAAAAGATTAAATAGCATTGCTAAAACTATTACTGATAAATCAACGTACCAATTAGATTCTTCCTGGTGGCAAAAGATGACATTGTTTAAAATTGCTTTTGACACTCCTAAAGAGCCAATCATCTACAATAAATATTTCAAAAGTTAAGAAACAGCAAACATAAACCAGAAGAAAATAAATAAAAAAAAAATTTAATAAAAGTCTGAAAGGTTTTCAGATTTTAAATTACGTCCAAAGGGGCATTTTTTTAACACTTTGTTTGTTACCTTTATTTATTAAATATCACATTCTTCACACTTTAATCATAAAATTCAATTCAAGAGCAATATCGCAAAATAGATTTAAATTGAGCATATCTTTAGAATTTCCGATACAGAGTCTCACGCGCTGGAGATAAAAATGTTTTTTCTGTACTACATTGCCATTTCTCGCTTTGAAATCCTTGAGTTTGTTAATCAAAAAATCGTTAGTTTTACAAAATATTCACATGCCCATATGCATAGGAGGATAATGTCATTCAAAATTCGATGCCTATATGTACTATTGTTTTATCACAGTGCAAGAAATATACATACATTTATAGAGATTTTTCATTATTTAATTTCTTCAAGTATAATGCAGGACTCTAACATCTGGTGGCAACAGTTTGAAAAGTGAAACGGACATTTATAGTAAACCAACACAAAATCGCAAAACGAAAACAATAGTCCTTCAGGGACAAAGCCCCTTTGGATTAATAATCATGTATTACCTATAAAAGCATCAAAACTTACTTCAGTATCAATTTCAGCACATTTGGAACTTAAATGAATTTTCTGAAAAATAAATTCAATAATTGCAATGATTTCCATAGAATAAATAAATGAAAATTAAAAACATTTGTTTAACAAAAAATTACTTTTTATAATACTTATTTAAAAACTAATAACTTATTATTTCATAGAAACTACTTGCCTCATTGTTAGCACCATAACGTGTTATGCTTCCTTCTAATGTCTTTAATGTTATTTTTTTCACCTAAAAAGTATATTTACATTTATTTGCAAATATATTTACACATATAAACATGCAACGTGCTCATAATTATTCCTTACCTTGATGTAAGAATAAAAAATGTCTTTGACTCAACACATTCATATTAACTTAAGCACCAATAAAATAAATTATATATGAAAACTAAAATTTATAACATGAAATAAAAGATAAATTATTTAAGCTATATTAGCTAAATTTTTTACAAAATACGCATTAGGAAATGATGTCACAATTATAATTTTAATGACAAAAATTTCACATACCTATAAGTAAAATATTACAACATTTGACTATACATATTAATTTATATAAAAAAATACTACCATACATTACAATATATGTCAGTTAACAAATTGGTTTAAATTACTTTGCATGCTTTAATAAAATTTATCAGTGTTTTCAGTTTTGATGTCCAAATGCAAATTTTATTCGAAAGGATAGAAAAATTTTCAATTTTTTTACTATACGCTAAATTAATTTTTTCTGATTTCACTTATGATCAAAATATCTAATTTAGTACTTGCATATTAGTGCACCCACCTTGGTGCAGTTTGATTGTTTTCACAGAAGAAAAAGAAGATTTGGTGAATTTTTGGATTGCAACTTAATAGTGGATACGAGTACCTACATTGCTATGCGCATAGTTGCTACAGATTGGCGACGTCTAAAATTTGCCGACTTCTATTCCGACCGGTTGTGAAAATACTTAAGTACCTCTAACTTGAACAAGCAAGTCAGCCATTACAAAAAACAAAGACTAAATTTACTACAGAAAAGATGCTTTCATTAATTTGCATGCAAAGATATTACAGATTTTACAAATAAATAAACTATTCTACTATGCTTTGAAAGGATGCCCTTCTTACCGCTTGTGAAGCCAACAGAGATCGTGTTACAATAACCTTTTTTCCTAGTACGTCACGAAACTGCAATTTCACTTGTCCTTTGACTTCTTGTTCGCCTGCAAACTTTATATAAATTTACTTTAATAGATTAACATATATGTTTTACTCAGGTTGTCAAACAAATTGCATTGTTAACTAGAACTAAGGATAACAATAATATGTGTGAAATAAAACAAAAAGTTACCTTAGGATCAAGTACAAAGGATCCACCTCGATCACTATTTGGTGGTGGGTCTCCAGTTGTCATGTAACGCAAGCACTCGATAATAGTCTGAAAGCAAGAAAAATATGAAATTTCAATACTGAAAACAGTGATTAAATAAAGGAGAAAATGTCATTAGGATATTTATTAATAAAATATAACTACTAAGAATGCAGACATTTGTAAATCATTAGATTGTTCTATAACAGTGGTGGCGAACCTATGACCCGTTGGTCAGACAGTGACCCACTAAGGCTTTTTAAATGACCCACGTGTTGATTTTTATTTTTTTGAATCATAAAAAAGCAAAAAGACAATTAAAAATATTAATACGAAATATAAATATCTAATGTCAAATTTTAAAAAAAAATTAAAAATTAAATTTAAAATATTTCCAAGCTGACATTGGCCAACTGATTTTTAGTTGTGAATCACTCAACACTCAAGCCACACCTCTCGTCTCCTCCAATGATTCATTACACATTACATGCCTATAATTTTAAATGTACAGTTGCTTGAAAAGTTATCTGATGCTGCCCATCTAAAGTTCGCATGAATGAAATGCTACAAAAGGATAGATTTCAATGACAATAGTAAAGAAGTTTTGAAAGCCATAATGAAGGGTCGAATCCCAGAAAAAGCACAGATGCTTGTAAATGTACAGTGTCTGTGTGGCATGGGGGCACTCTAAATACATGGTGACCCGAAAGTCCTCTCAAGAAGTTGATGGTAGAGAATGAGGGGTGGGAGACCCTCAGACTTGCCCCCCTGGGGGTGAAGAAGAAGGTTCTGTTTAACCATAAAACTATAGTACTGCATGTTTAATTATGTTACTCAGTTGTTTTTTACTGATTTCTTTAGCCTTTAGTTCCATGGCATGCCCTTTTGTAAAAAAAACTATAGTATGCACATTATAGTGCAAATATCTAAGTCACCAGATTTTCAGAATGCATTACACTCTGGCCACCATCTCATGAAAATCACATGTATGATTCTTCAGTTTTAACAAGCAACATCACCACTTCCATACACACTTTTTCTGTTGTATTCTAAATAGCAAAGATTTTTATAAACCAATCACAATATTTTTTGTCCTAAGATAAATTTTAAAATAAGCGCTTTCAGGAATTTGCCTGCAACAAAAATGTGACAAATTCTGCAAAAATTCAGTATTTCGAGTAACAGCATGCCTGGGAATAATGGCTTTGAATCTATTCCTAAAACAATTACTACAAAATTTCAATCTAGTTAAAAAAATGGCGAAAAATTTGTCACTAATAAGTTCATGATTTTTGGTAGGGATGCGGATGATCAAGAAAGTACTGAATTAGATATTTATTGACTCAGTTTCAGTCCAGAAATATGAACTGCACTCTTCCTTAACTTTCTGGTCTGACACATCCTATTTTGTCACCTTATTACAGTGTTTCCCAAACTCTTGACATATGTATATCCCTTCTATAACTTTTGTAACGCTGAGCATCCCTCGTCAAAGAAAATAGATGTATTTCAGTAATAATCAAAATTTTTTTGTTTTTTTGTTTTGTTTGTGTGTGTGTGTGTGTGTGTGACATACACAAAATAACAAGAAAAGAGAAATAAAACTATTCATAATAAAATATAAATGAAAGTTGTAAATAACATTTATTTGTATTAATGAGAATGATGAAATTGTTTGTGCTGAGATGACAAATCATCATAATTTGGTTTCCTGGTTGTTAATTTCAATCTGAGATGCAGTTCCATGTCCAATAGTCTGTTCCTTCTTTTCGACTTAGTCTAACACATGTTGTATTTGTAACCAAAATGATGTTAAAGTGCACTCCTTGTGTTTATTTTTCAAAAATCTATCTGAAGCCAATTCCGGCAATTGCTCTTCTTCTGCATGCGACAAATGTTCTGGCATAGATGTTGTGTTAATGTTAAATGGATATCTTATCATTCAATATTTTTGTTTAAATCAGGGAAATGGTTTCTCAAGCCCACTTGCAAACTCTCCAAATGCTGTGTTGCATTTCAGGCGCATCAGCATCACTTTCAGTAGTCAAATTTGTTATAAACTGATGAAGAGAGGGAAATGAGTTCACTTCTCCATTACCAACTCTCTTTTACTCTAAATTTAGTTTTGCGATGGCAGCGTTCACTTTATCTTGAAAGTGAAATAATGATTTTCATTTTTTTTGGGGCCTTGTAATAATGAGTTGAGACAATTTAAAACAGAGAATATATCTACTAAGTATGCTAGTTTACAAAGCCATTTCCAGTCATGTGAACAATTTAACTCAAATCTATCATTAAGAGAACATTGAAGTTTATGTCTAAATTCAAACAATCAATATCCAAAGCCTCTCTGTGTATGCAACAATGTGTGGATAAGACATTTGGGGCAATGTTTTGAATTCATGCCCCATAGAGTCCTTTATTAATTCCGACCATACGTTTTGCTCCATCTGTGCTTATTCCAACACATCTATTCCAATCAATTTTGTTCTCTTGCATAAATTTATTCATAACATTAAAGATATCTTTTTCTGCTATGTGACCTAATAAAGGCTGACAAAATGAAAAGTCGTTATGAATTTCTTGATTTTTTTCGAATCTAACAAAAGCTATAAAATTTGCAAAATTCGCAATATCAGTGGACTCATCGACTTGCGATGCATAATAACAACTTAACAAACCTAGAAATATCAAATAATAACATCTGTTTCACATTATTAACCTTTAAAAGACAGGTGGCCTAAGAATTGGCCAGAGCTGTTGTGTCTCAAAAAGACGGCTGTGGCCGAAATATCGGCCAGCCAATTCCCCTCCCCCATTCTTGAGGGTGCGGAGATAGTCATTGTCCAAATAATCTCCCTTGCCACTTATGTGAGATGACCTTCGCGCCTCCCAACTGTGGGGTTTCATAAATTCCCTTTTGCTTCCCTCAGCAGTGAAATCTTAGCAATTTTACATTAGTATTAATTTCACCAACTTTTCAGTGTCATTAGAAATGTATTTTTTCTTTATATTTCCCCTTTTTATTGTAATTTGTGTATTTAATATTGCTGTTCGAAACATGCAAAATGCAATGGAGTGCAATGCAATGAAAATATAATCAATAAAATCTGTTTTTAACGTAAAGGAAAATAATTTAAAAAAAAAAAAACGCTAAAGGATAAAAAAAAGCTTTTATCGCAAAACTGCAAGAAAGAACAATGAACAATAATGTAGCTGAAAGATGAAATAACTTATGATACAATGGAGGGGAATCTATAAATTAAACTGAATAAGAATACTAATGAAAAAGGTAAACGAAACTAATATAAGAAAAATACAACGGGATTTGTTTGATATAAATATAAGCTGTCACACAATGTTTGAAACAAAGTGAACGCGAACTAGCCAGATTTATGCGAGAAACAAATAGATAAAAATCATTTTTGAGTATAAATTAAAAATGTTAATTAGTACATGTAATTCTAAACTAAATCCAGATTGGAAACAAATAAAAACTGAATAAACTATAAACTGATTATAGGCGTGCATTTGCTGCTAAGGCATATTTTCATTATGACGCAATGTCAAAAGTTAATATTCCAACCTATGACAATTATTTAGCTACGAAATCTCACCATAATACGTTTCCCTAGTTTAGGGGAAAGAAACAGCAAAAAAGAGAACAAATTCAACAAATTCTTTTATATTATTCCCTAGTCTCTTATCTGAAAATTAACAAAGGCAACCTACAGGAAAAAATGCAAAAGAATAGTAGTTTCCCTTTACAATGGCAGCTAAAAGGGGGGTGAAAATACATTTGGATTTCACGTCGTTTTAAGTGAAACCTTTCCAAACTGCCCCGTCTTTTAAAGGTTAAACATATCAATGATTTGTCGATAAACTGTATTATTTGAGAAAGAAGCGCAGTCAAAAGTTTGTTTCGCTCTCTTTCCTATCAGTACTTCTGCCATTATCATGGCTGCAGGCTTGATTAAAATTTCGCCAATGGTTTCCGCTGCACTACATTTTGCAATTAAAAGGGACATGTGATACTAAGTTTCTAGTATTTGTTGATTGTCACCTCCTGTCAAACCCCACATTACTGTTTGAGATTGATTTAAATGGTTAAGTTTATTTTCAAAAAAATCTATTGATTTAAATGGTTAAGTTTATTTTCAAAAAAATCTATAGGTTTATCTTTGTACTGATAATGCTTTGTCTCAAAATGGCACTTTAAGTTAAATGGTTTTATACTTTCACTTGTTAGATTTTCAAAACAATGACGCAAAGTGGAATAGGCTTATTTCCTTCTCCAATCCATGAGAATTCAAATTTCAGATATTCTTTCCTGTAATTGTGAGTTTTCCTTGCTTTCTTCTTAACAAGTTCTCTCAGAATTTAAGTTGATTCATCGTTAATTTAATTATTTCCTGTTAGTTGATTGCTACTATAATCATTACTTTCTTTTGGTGTATTAGTTCCAGATTTCAACCAGCAATCCATAACTTAAGTCAGGGATAAAAATTATATTTTATAAAAATAATTAAAATATGTCGGACTTACTAAAGCGCTTAACAAACATTTCCTATACGAAAAATTGCACAAAAGCTAAAAATACACAGGCTCCTTGAGAAGGCACTAACTATTAACGAGTCTCTATTAAGTTGTCTCTATAACGAAATGTGGTATACTCCTGCCATATAATACAGGACAATCTTACGCCTCTTAAGACTGTCTTGACTTGATAAATGAGAAAATTTTTCCTAGGAATTGAACGTAAAATCATATACGTAGAATTAGACACAGCTCAGCACGATGCACTGCATATCCCCACCAAACTCCGGTGCAACACATACCCCCTACCAAACTCTTCCCGTACCCCTGGAAGTACGCCGACCACACTTCGGGAAACACTGGTCTATTATTATCATGTCATCAAAACTAAGGATATTGTCTATTCTTATCTTATCCAAATCAGAAAATAGATATCAGAATTTTGGACATCCTGAAATGTAGATATGAAGTAGCTTTTTAAAAATCAATGCAGCAGCAAGACCGTCTAATAATTCTTGACATATTTCAACATT